TTCACTCCACGGCGTCCTCTACAGTCCGGGGACGCCCGTCAAGCGCATAGAGGCCAGCGTCATGGTCCTCAGCTCCATATCACAGCCGAGGTATGGCATGCATGTGTACATCCGGCACACAAGGGAAGGCTCGCGTTGCCAAGGTCAGTACCCTGTCTGCCCACTGCCGAAGTGACTCTCCTGGATTCTGACTAGCAGACTGGAAGTTAAGTTGATGCGTAAGATCGGGGGCAGAGGAGCCAAAACGCTTCTCAAATCTCTGCAAGATCTCGCCTAGGCGGAGCTGGCTACTGGTTTCTAACAGCAAGGTATAGTACTCACTTGCTGCCCCTTCAAGGGAAAAACAGAACTGGTCGTGCTGCTCCTCCTCGGTCCACAGGTGGCTGCGAGATAACCTAACGAACTTGTGCAAAAATGCCTTCCAGCTGGTCTTACCATCATAGCGAAGGTCCTTATACCAGGGCTTACTCCAAGTGGCTGCCTTACTTGGGTATGGTGTGGTGCCCTGGTAACCAGGTGAGCCATAATGTATTGGTGTACTAAAGTTGCAAGCCTGGTTAGCCTGGACTGACTAACTACATGTAGCATAGTATCTTGGATGGCCTGCCCCATACATGTTAGGCTGCTCATGTGCTATTCTCTCCCCCTCCCTTCCAAAATGGCAGGCTGGGGTATCGGGATGGGCAGGACTACAAGCCAGTGACACAGGAACACTATGGTGCTGCAGTGCACTGGGCATAGCCATACCATGGAGTGTGGCTGGAGTACTCTCACCTCAGTACAACACAGACTGGGCATGGTCGGGTACTGGGGGTTGAGCATGCCTACCCCCAGGACTGATGTACACTGATGGGGACGCACGGTAAGGTGTGCTTGTGGAATTAGCATACAATGATGTAGGTTGGAGTCTGGCAGCATTCACACCAGTGTCTAAAGGCCAAGAGACTAGGTTACCATTTGCTCGTGACTGAACCAGTGCTGGGGACACTCCAACATTTAGTGGGGCTGAGGCAGATATAGTGCGTGGCATTGAGCTTGGGGGTTGGAAATCATCCCCAGGGAGAGAGGGCGCACCAAAATCTGCTAGTCTAGGTTGGCTCTGTATGGGTGCAGGGACCCAGGTGAGCCCTACAGGATCTACGGGCCTTACATGTTGACGATCATACTCGGAGGTGAGCTGTGTGGGCCTTACAGGCCTCTCAGGTTGCTGACTAACACACGGTGCATGGGACGGAAGTGCGGGGTCAAGTGAATGTGGTACAATCTCACCCAAGCGGCTTGGTCTATAACCCATGGTAGCAGGGCCCCCCATATTAGCTGTGTCTCCCACAAGGACAGGGTGGCTACTACTAGCTGGTCGCACACGGCCTAAGGAATACGGATGGTTTGATCCCGAATTCAGGGGAACCTCCCTATATTCATATTTAGGTGGGCTACAACCCACAGTGCTACCAGGTGAGCCACACCTACACAGGCTACCTAGAGAGGCCTCCAGGGAATCACTGGTCATCACCCCTGGTGAGCCAAATTGAGGCTGGGCAAACCTTACCTCTTTTCCTGACTTTCCATGTAACACACTCCCCTCCCCACGGAGGATGCCCGAATGCAGGCCGGGCATAGGTGTAGAGGGACCCCCAAGGGGCAACCCCCCTCCCATGTGGCCTGACATTGACTGAGCAAAAGGACTGTGACTGGAGGCAAAATGCTCACTCCCGTATGGTGAATTACCCCCCTCCCCGGAGTATCCCCACAGGGGTGATACTGTCTGACCACGTGATAGCCGGGTCACTACCCAGGTCTTAAGCCGACACGGCTTCCTCCAGGGACATATCCATAATAAAATTGCACAAAATAAAATCTCAAATAAATCACAGATAATCTACAAAATCACTAAATCGCTTGCAATAAATTTATACACAAATTGATTCTAGTTAATTCAAAAAATTATTGCATCAGAAAAATACTGCAAACGTCACACGTGCTCTCAGCACCAAAAACAATGCCAAGAAAAAATTTCCAAACTGACAGCAGTACGGGAATCTAGCACCGGGCCCCGCGAATTGGGCGCCAGTGAAGTAACTATGTGGTTCTTTACAAGTATTTATTTACAATATGTACAAACACAAACTTATCCGTAGGTTCTGGCCCAGGCCGACTCCCGCTCCGCTGCTGTCCCAGACAAGTTTGTCTGCTTGGCATCCACGTGTAGAAGAGGTCTGTGCGACTGTCCCGCCATCTGACGTAATACCATCAGTGGGTCGTACCAGGGGACAGTCGCACAGATACTACACTAAGTCGCGGGTTAGAATCCACTATGGGACGTGGAGACCAGTTCTTCGGATGAGACTGTATAAACCGGTGTCCCTTGTTGCAGTAGTTGTTGGCACAAAAAAGATCCCTCACTGCTCAATGGCCTAAGTGTCGACCCTACGTTAAAATTTGCAGCCCTTCACCGGCAAGTGGTGGCGTCTCCATATGAGTAAAAAATTCTCGAGAAGGACGTTTAACAAACAAACCCCGTTATATACTAAACGTTTACAATAATATATTCATAATGTACTTAGAGCCTGTTATAGGTACTGTTAACTTGATAGAATAATAAATCCATTTAAAACACACACTAAATATTAATAATCCCAGTGGTAATAATGATGTATATACACCATGTGCAAAACAATAATGATAACGGTAAAAAAAGTGCTAGCAGTGTGACGTAATTCCACGCACGAGTCTAGAAATTTCCCAAATAGGTGTACATTTGTAAAACTTATATTATAATTACATACAATTTTTTTTTTCATAAGTTTGTGTTATCTATTCTAAATATGACAGGAAAAAGGGTGAATCGTGAGTGGGGGTTGATTTTTGACAAAGTTGATTGGGTCAAGATTTGGAAAGGGGTTCTCCGAGTCCTACCCAAATACTGATAAAAATTTGCACAAATTTCCATTTTGGCATCTATTTTTTTTTAGTTCATCCAAAAAGCTATGCACTAAAATAATAAAATTTGTTGTTTTGACAATAAATTCAAGAAGTTCTAATTATGGGTAGAAAATTAACCACCCCCCTTTTTTACACAAATCTTTCAAAAAATTCTCTCTTTATCAGAATTTACATTATTAGGTAATATCAGACTGGTAATGAAATATTTACATGCGCGGATCTAGAGGGGGAGGGGGTCCGGAACCTATATACGAAATCTATATACGAAAGCAACTAAAAGTGACCTTGGACCCCCCCCCCCCCCCTTAGAAAACACGGACCCATGTTAAGTTGGTATGAAAAGTTATACATATGAAGCTTAAAAAGTGAGCAGCCAAACCCCCCTCTTCCCCCCTCCCCCCACCACCACAACACTGAAATAGGTTTCCACGGGTTTTTGGGAGAGGAGTTTAAATGCATTTTTTTTTTATTTTATTTTGGCTTGTTAAGAAATTTCTGGGTTGGTTCCCCTGGAAAAAATTTCTGGATCCGCACCTGATTTACATAAGAGGCCCATATGGACTGCATGTTCACCTGAGCATTTTATGTTTGATTTAAATGTGTGCTTCTTCCCTGGTTACCAGAATTTGAAGGAGAGCAGTCAGAGCACATTTCAGGGACGTAGCAACGTTTTTGAAAGTGGGGGAGGGGGGGGGGGCAGCCAGAGAAAAAAATTTCAATTAACCTGAAAAAACGACATGCCAAAAAAAATTTTTTTTTTCAAAACTCAAAAATCCTATTTCGTGGGGTGGGGGTGGGTTTTCAACTTCTTTCAGTACCCCAATTTTATATGTACACTACTACATTACCTTTATTTGACTATAATGTAACAAAAAAGTGGGGGGGGGGGGGGCAACCACCCTTTCATGAACGATAGAAAAAAGTTATGTTTCGAAAAAAGTGGGTTGGGGGGGCAGCCCCCCCCCCCGATGCTATGTGCCTGCATTTAGAGGTAAACACATTAGTGCGGGTATTACTGTCTTATGACATCATCTAGTATTACTAATAGAATCGATATACAATATTATAACCTCTTATGGGGTCCAATTTAATTTTCTACGATATCTCAGTATATAAACCAAGTTCTTCTAGGATTCACTCAAGAATATATTTATCTTATGGACCCAAACATTTGCTAAATTTACCCTTCATTTTTCTGGTACCTGCCATGCTTGCAAGTGAAGTGTAAGGTTAGTGAATGAATACCGTTCGTACATGTAGTGTATTGGATTGACTTCAGGTACACCATTGTTGATCAAAGACTTGCAGATCATATGCGAGTTTGATACTAAATACACTGTACTTGACTGAAGTACTATAGTACTTCACATTGAATTACTGTTGTGGAAGAAGATTTTCACATCATGAATGGATTTCGTAGAATCTGTACTCATTATTTTCATAGTGGTCCTTTATTGTCTGACAACATCCTGAATTCTTTAAACTATAAAACAAGGAAAACTTGCTTCTGGTAATCCATTTTGGTCCTTGCACAACTATCTGAATTCAACATAGGAAAGCAATTGAAAATTAGAATACAGTAATCTCATTTGCATTTACCTGATTTTTGATTGAAATGATTTTTATCGGAAGAGAATTGCCTACATATGGATAGACTTTAAGATTATTATATGCATTTATCTTATTAAGCATTTTTTTTTTTTTTTTTTTTGCATTCCATAGTTATTTCTTATTTGTAGCTTGATCAGATAAAACAAATAAAACAAATTACCATGGAAAGGAAGGCTGCAAGTGTCATGAGCAAAGAAGGTTTTAACCTAAAAACTGATTTTCTCTATTTTCATAATCAGTATGTTATATAGCATCAAGCTTTTTAATAGAACTATTGGCGTACTTATTTCATGTACGTTTAGGTAACGTTTGATATAACTGAACAGTACATGGAACAGTTATCTGACGCTACTGACGCTACTCCTTCTATGGATATGGCAACCTTTGAACAAAATTCTACATTGTTTAATTATGAAACACTGTCTACAAACTCCAATATTTCAACAATGTCTGAAGAAGCGTCAACATCTACCATGCAGAGTTCAACTACATCTTCTGGAGGACAAATTCTGCATCAATCCACAACTACAAATCTTACGCCCCTCCACTTGTCCACTGTCCAAAGCTGGCAGGACTCGACAGAATCAGGTAACATTTAATTTACTATATTTTAACATTTGATTACTGATTTACATTGACCGTTTTAAGACAAATATTGAAACCGGATAGTTATTTTACATCTTACATTATACAAAAGTTATTTTAAATCAAGTAAGATTAAGAGACATGTAGTGCAAGTACACTACATTTTTGCTTAAATACTCACTTGTAATTAATGCAATTGTTAAAACAAAATGAAATTGAAGGGCTTGGATAGATGAATGAAAATAAATACTCGTAGTCAAATTTTATAGATTGTGGTGATTGTGAATGTTGGAGTTTGAGAGGAATGGTTGGAAAACTTACGATTCTTTTGGCGGGGCAGTTCATTGAAGTCAATTGCACAGAAGATGGAACTCTTTTCCATTGGACGGTAACCACACAAAAGGAAAAAAATGCCAAAATTATACAAGCCTCTTCATGTCCATTAAAATTACATGCGCTTATTTTCATAATACTCTAAGAGCACGGAATTATCAATCTGAAGAAAACCACGAGATAACAGTAGCTTACCAATAAATATAATCTGAAAGGAAAATAAAATTGGTGTAGACAGTTTTAATACGCAGTAGATATAATAATAAAAAAATAATAATAAAATTGAGCCAGTCAAAATCTTGGAAACTAATTATTCTTTTTATTTATGCAAATTACTTGTAGACTTTTCAAAGAAGAATCGACGGCAGTGTTGATTTTTACAGAAATTGGACAGACTATGAAAACGGATTTGGGTCAACTGATGGGGAATTTTGGTTAGGTATTGTTACGTTAAGCAAGCATTTTACTTAATATGAGAAATACGTTTTTCAAAATGCTTCTGCAAACTAAATAAAAACAGATAAACATAAAATTTTTACAAGTATTAAGGTTCACAAAAATGACAATTTTAACAATAATGCCGCATTCAACAAAATATAGAAATTTATAATAATTGTTATAATACCTTTAAAAATTGTATCCTATATAAATCTATGCTAAAAAAAGTCTGAAATTTCCAATGTTTTACCGAGCGGTCCATTGAAAATCGTTTTTTGACCGCTGAGTGAGATACTGGACCTGTCGATGAGATATTGGACCGCTACGTCACACTGTTGGTTTAACCGCAGTTCGGGAAAACGAAATTTACATTATGGAAACCAGTACAAGATACATGTATGTTAATAAAAAAAAAGGTATAACAAAACATTTATTGACCGAATTCTCGGGCAAAATGCGTTTTGTCGACCCTCAAACCAAACTGTTTGCCTAACGGCCTCAGGCAAACAGTTTGGTCTAGGGTCCGACAAAACGCATGTTGCCCTCGAACCCAGTCAATATATGTATTTTATTGATTTTGTATAGTTATATACATTCCTTAACGTTTCAAGAGTTATCATTAATAAACACTTGCAAATGAAGATAGTTGTATTTGTCTTTGATATGAGAACATGAAATTCATTTTTTGATAGGTAACAAATATATTCATGAGCTGACAAAGTTAGGACATACCTACTTGAGGATAGATCTACTAACATTTGACGGAAAACTCCTTTCTATAGAATATGCAACGTTCAGGGTGGGAGATTCTTCAACTAAATATATATTAGAAGTAGGGAATCCAGTTTATTCTTCCACTCCAGGTATATATAATAGCAATGTGTTTTGTAGACTATTGATTAAAGAACATGTTTTTTTACTTATCAAACGAATCTGAAGTTTGAAAATGAAAAAGTTTATTTATTTTGGTATTTTGATATGTTCTAACTACTAGTATTCCGGAATATGATACGAAGAAATATTTTTAAATGTTTAGTAACATTTTCTTAATGTACAGAATGGGACATAGGTGACAGTATGGCAGATCATAATGGTATGCGTTTTACAACATATGACTCGGACAACGACGACAACAAATCTGGAAACATTGGTAACTGTGCAATCGAGCTCAAAGGTGGGTGGTGGTACAGGAATTGTGGAGACTGCAACCTTAATGGGGAGTATAGCCACGAACGATACCCACCTGATGACAGAGTGTATTGGAAAGACTATGGGGGTTTTCAAGAATCTCTGAAGGAGGTCACGATGAAAATTCGGAAACCATGAAAAAAGTTTTCTTGTACATTTGATTGCCCTTTTTAGCTCACCTGAGCTGAAAGCTCAAGTGAGCTTTTCTGATCACCCTTTGTCAGTCGTCCGTCCCTCTGTTTGACTGTCCGTCCGTATGTAAACTTTTTACATTTTCAACTTTTTTAAACCAAACTTGGTATAAAGCATCTTTTTTAACCAAACTTGATATGAAGCATTCTTTGGTGTTGGAAAGTTTAAATTCTTTAACTGAAAGGCCAAGCCCCGTTACAAGGGGAGATAATCAAGAAAAGACAAAAATAGGGTGGTATCCTTAAAAAAAATCTTCTTCTTAAGAACCCCTAAGCCAGGAAAGCTGAAACTTATATGGAAGCATCCTTGGGTAGTGTAGATTCTAAATTGTTCAAATCATGACCCCCGGGGTAGTTCGGGGACACAATAGTGAATCCAATTTTTACATTGAAATACATAGAAAAAAATCTTTAAAAATCTTCGGCTCAAGAACCAACGGACCAGAATAGCTGAAATGTATGTGGGAGCATCCTGGGGTAATGCAGATTCTAAATTTTTCAAATTATGACCCCAGGGGTATGGCGGGACAACTATATGTATTATTGCAAGGGAAAAATCCGGTGAAGAACAGCAGGGCCAAAGCAACTCAGGTGAGCATTGTGGTCCATGGGCCTCTTGTTTAAGAAGCTTTACTATCTTATTTCAAAGTAGCTTATTTCATTTGTCAGATACTATTCAAATTCATCTTTATTATTATATGAGGATGTGATACATGTATAAATACTAGGATATTATACCTATACCAGCAATCCAGTGAAATCCTAGAGGATGCTATACCAATACTAAAATTTAATCGAAATCCTTCTGAAGTTTTTCTTGAAATCCTCACAAGTTAAACTTATAGCAGGACTCAACTGATATCCTCAGTACCAGTACTCGACTGAAATCCTCTTGAAGAAATTATACCAATAAGTACAATGTACAAAAGTATGTTTTTAACACACTTTTATTACTTACTCCTATGAATAAAGTAGTTAATGGAATGTCTTATCATTAGCTGGTTACACAACCGTAATCGGTTTAATTTCTTTTCATTGCATGCCGAAATGTACCTAAAATTCGGACTACAAAGGGTAAAAAATGTCTAATCACCATATGCAAAAAGTGTTTGTTAGCATAATTTAGAGACGTTTTGTGATTATTAATACGTATGTATTTAATCACCAGACCACGAGATCATGAAGCATCTTAAATTCAAGTCAAACCTGTTTGTGGTGTTGAAATATTTTAGAAATTAAGCAGTCCAAAATCAGAATGCATTCCAATTTTACATCATCAAACTGCTGTTATATACAAATTAAGAGTTTCATTTGACAGTATCAAACATTTTGTTATAGTTGATTGAAATACTGATTTAAGTCTAAGTCTGTTTCATTATCCTGGGTCCAATATTCAGTCCTGACCTCGGTCATTGACGCTTTAAGATATAGAAAACATTCAAATTACCATCAAACTATATTGAACTACAGTATACGTTATTTTCTGTGATTAAGATAATTGAAAAGTGCATTGGTTACCAAAAATATTATTGTAAATGAGACATATCATATCCTTACTACATACATACATTGCACTCTACTCTAATATATGCATTGTAAAATACAGTAATTTATAACGTATAATTATACTCGTAATGTAAATGAAGTGAAAAGCCAATAAAAATTGTATGAAAGAAATGCATTAAAAATCTCCTTGTAAATAAACTTTGAACAAAAATAAGCTATATTCCCATTCAGGCCTAGAAAACTAAGTATTGATGCACCCTTTTAACGTAATTTTAAATCTCAGTGTTATAATGGACTATAAGACAGTAAAATAAAACGTATATTGATTAATTTAAAGAGGAGTGTTTGGTTTTTGACCTTTATTATGTCTCCCGGTGTTTAGTACCATTTTGTTCCCCACCCCTTTGGTTTACAAGCATGCTAAGTCATTTCCTGATGGACTTTTGTTAACTGAGAGGTATGTTAATGCAGCAGAATACAATTATTGACAGAGTTACACATTTTTGTCAACATCTCTTTAAAAAGATATTTTTCATAACTTGTAAACTATTAAGATCATTGCCTACAAGCTTTAGAGTACATAAGGCAAGTACCCAAGGCAAATGCCATTATATATATATATATATGTGTGTGTGTGTGTGTGTGAGGGTGTGTGTGTGTGTGTGAGGGTGTGTGTGTGTGTGTGTGTGTATATATATATATATATATATATATATATATATATATATATATATATATATATATGCATGCATGCATCATCATCCAAGTGTCAGAAATAACCTGTTTAAAAATTCAATTCAGAAAGTTCAACTTTCTTTTGAAATTCAGTATTTTTGAAAGGCAAAGACATAATCGAAAAATAATTTTGGAACCAAAAAATTCTGCTTTATTGGCTCTATCCCTTCATTTTGAATAAAGAAATCATTCTTAATTTTTAGTGATACTTTCAGAGAGGTTTTGGCTAAGAATGCAGGGTGAAGTATGTAAACTGGTTCTAAAACGCCACTCAAGTAAAAACTTTCAAATTTTCATATTCTATACAATTTTATGGCAAAGTGATGAATTTAACGCTTTGCTTGCCAAAATGACATAGAAAAAGCTGCCTTGGATAGGGATTTCCTGCTTGGCTTCATGAAAAGAATGACAGTTAAGTAGAATACCTGAAAATATTTTTGGTCTCTGGTTTTAGACCCCCAAGCACAATTGCCCATAATTATAAGAAATTCAAAAACACCTCGAATTACAACAGAACTATAATTGCAAATAGCTCATCTGTTTTAAAGCATTTCACATCGCCCATTGCTAGTCATGTTACAGATACGTTGATATGGTTTCCGCTAAATCACAAGATTCACAGTCACACAGCGTGGAATACTTTTATTGTAATAAAAATGTAATAAGAAAGTACACATATTTACAATTATTTTATCTTGAAATTATATTTTAAGCACAGAATTCATTCAAATTTAAAATGTCAGGAGACATGTTTTGTTAATAAATATTGAAATCACGATCTACGTTTACCAATAATATTGATTAAATGTATAGTAATGTGTATTATAATTTTACAAAAAAGAGCAATTTTAAGAGAATACTTCAAGAAATGGTACAGTAACGTTTTTGAGTAGTTTTTTTGTATTAGGTCAATATCGACGTCTGCAATCTATACTCACGTTTTTCTCACAAACTGTTTTGAGATTTCTGAATATGTCTTTACACACAAAAATTAGTTACAAATTGTAGATATACAGATAACTTTGAAAACAATTTAATATAACTTAAAGTTCAGTTAGAGATACATATGAACAAACTGCTCATTTCTAAATTTTTATCTTAGAGTCAGTTAGGGATAGTATCTACAAATCACCGACCGTCTCAAAAATTTTCCTGATTTAGATCTCCATTTAAACTCAGAAAAGTGAGTAAGATTTCCGGTAAACATAGTGATGATGTGATTTTCTTCTGGGATTCCATTGCCGGCATAAAAGTTGGTGAAGATCAACCTAGAACCATTACCGAACATAGATATCCACTTGCCACTGGAGAATAATCCATCGATTAAAAGTCGTCTTGTTCCTATTGGATCTTGCATCAAAGAAACTGAAAGAAATAAGACCAAACTGGTTTACAAGAAAGTCTCTGAAGACCTAATTGTTAATCCCTTACATCCAAGCCTCCTTATATCAAAAGTGTTAAAATAATATTGAAAGTGAATAAATTTTATCTTCTGTATAGTATACAATCGGTTTGGTATAAAAATATTTTCCGTTTAAGAAAGGTTTACTGTATAATATGATCACATGCATATTGCGTTATGTCTCCCAAGAAAGCATTGCCTATGTACCATCAACCTCTAAAACGAGACGGGCTTTTGATAAATAAGCTGATGTCCCAGGGTAAAAATAATCTTTTTAAGTCAACATGATCGTGACAATGATTTCACTTGCAAATAAAACCTTTCTTTGGGTCGAATACTCGGTGACCATACAAATGTCCATACAAATTGTTAAATCATTGTTTTCATACTTATTTGTGTACAGTTGTAAAGGGGATTTCTACTTTTCCATGACACATGATCCCACTTCTAGAGTCGCGGAGTAAGGAGTTAATCCTTACGTCGCGGGTTCGAATCCTACTGTGGGACGTGGAGACTGGTCCTTCGGATGTGACTGTATAAACCGAGGTCCTGTGTCGCAGTAGATGCTGGCACGAAAAAGATCCCTCACTGCTCAATGGCCCTGAGTGCCGATTACAGACCTGTTTACCCATATTGTTGTCTCTCAATATTTTTTATTAGATTTGTCAGTGAGAGTTGACATATTCCCGTAAGATTTTACTTTCCATCGATTTTACATATATTACTAGAGAAACCACCGCGTTTTGGCAACCCGACATCACTTAACTGTTTGAAATATTTCTTTTTTAGTGATTAAAAAGCGTCAAACTCAGACAGATCATAACGAAAACTATCTGCTAAAATCTAAACGAACGGATTTCGGATTTCCGTATTTTCATTAAAGTAAAACGTGAGACGTATTTAGGACTCAAAATCCGTACAAAATACGGCGAAATCGTAAGAGTAAACAGGTCTGCGATTATAGGTCAAAATTTACAGCTCTTCACCGGTAAGTGGTGGCGTCTCCATATGAGTGAAATATTCTCGAGAGGGACGTTAAACAAACAAACATGATCCCATTTCTGGTTTTTCTAGGGGGTCAGTGTATGCCCTGTTGTCAGTTTGTATTTTTTCATTGGATTTCGTGTTTGTTCACTGTTCGTTATCTTCACATTTTATAATATTAAGAGATGGTTATCAATTTATCCGACTTTTCAAAATATATATTTCATATAGGCAAAAAAGCTGTAGCCTACTCATCATTTTCTCAAGGATAAAAAAATTGGTTGAAAAAAGGGAGGAGAAAAGATTATTATAATTCTTATCTATTAATTTTATTTTGTGCCAAAAAAAGCATTCTTAGCAATCCGTACTTTTATACCTATCCAACGTTGACAGTTTTACATGTACTATATATTAATGACAAAACTACCTATAGCTGGAATTCTTTTAAATCCGAAATTCTAGTATTATGTTAAGTTTGGCCAAGACATTATCAAAACCATCAACAGGAAGAGGCAATTTGATTAAAATCAGATCTTTGTTATGCTCCGAAATTCTTATGTCGCTGTACAAAGATCTCTTTGTACAGCGACATTAGAATTTCGGAGCGTAACAAAGATCTGATTTTAATTAGATTGCAGGAGAACAGGAGGCCATGATTAGTGCAGGAAATGAAATTAATATTTTTGGTTAGTAGGAAATTAAATGTATTGATCGTATATATATTATTCAGTAAGGAAATTTCCATATTTTCTAAGCAGAGTAAAAAATATTAAAAGTTCTCAATTTTGTTAAGTAGTCTTCATAGCAAGATAAAAACTGGAAAAAAAATGTTTTTTATATATTATTTTCACTTGTCAAATTGTAGATTTCCATATTTTCTAGTAAGCAGAGTAAAAAATGTTAAAAGTTCTCAATTTTGTTAAGTAGTCTTCATATCAAGATAAAAACTGGAAAAAAATGTTTTCAATATTATTTTCACTTGTCAAACTTTAGATGACAAATGACAATCGTAGATGTCTTATAGTTCGCAAAAATGGCCCCACCGAACACCCCACTCCCCCTCTCAATCCCTGTCGAGAGGGGGCGACCTTCTCCTTGCCTACCCATACTTTGCGCCTCAGGTTAAATCTGTGACTTCTCACTAGCCCAATGGAGAGGCATGTACAGTATACACATTAGCAGATAGGAATGTACGCCACTGTAAGTAATCAAAATTCATGCAAAAAAAGAAAATATTAGGTACTGATAGCCTCAGCAAACGAAGTTTTGGCTGTTTAAGATTTACCCCATATACTAGTCTGTTGGTTCGTCCGTCTGTTATGGATACAATCCAATGCTGTTGGTGTATTTCCGTTGATTGTCGGCTGACAACCAACCCTTGAACATGTTTGTTTGTTTGCTTGCTTGCTTGCTCTTTTTTTCTCTAGGAGTACTTCGCCAACTGGCATGGATTTTACAATAAATAATTATTGGAAAAGGAGTCTTCGAAATTTGTTGCAGTCCCAAAGAAACAGTTTTCGAAGTGTGTGTGTGAGGGGAGAGGGGGGCAACCTCCGAAAGAAGTTGAAAGCAAAAAAAGTAAACTGACCAAACTCTTAAATCTTATTTCGTGTATTTGTGTGTTGGGGATGGTCTGACTTTTAAGTATAATTTTTCTTTCAAATGCTGTAATTTCCCTGTTTGACTAAACGGGGGGGGGGGGGGGGCACGCAGCATCCAAATCAAAATTTAATATTAAAACTACTGTAACAGCAAAAGAGATTATTTTCAGAAAAAATGGGGGTAGCCACCACCACCACTACCCCCCCCCTCCCCAACACTTTTCCCTTCTTTCCTACGGACTTGCGTTGTACCAACAACAAAATTGTCCTTTATAATCAATTCTACTGGCAAAATTCATATCAATGATCTTTATTTCCTAAAAATATATGATATCACTATGCTTAACAACCTTTAAATTTGGTTATTGCCGAAGAAGATATTTTTTCAGTTATTCCTATAAATTAATAAAAATTTTGAAATCATCTCAAAAAAAGAGCTTTTATCTGAATAAAAAACCATGCATTTTGCTTCCAAAACATCATTTTAATAAAATGCATGATAATTAAATTTAAGTTCAGAATCAAGAGGTCACATTTATTCAAGGAGTTGTAATATCAGAAGATAGACAGACAATGCTATCCATTTGCTTACAATGCAACAACAAAAAAGACTTATTATGTTAATGTATGGATTTGTACTTACAGGCCAATCCACTGACAAAGTTATTCTCCTCTAATGAATTAACTTTAATTAATTCTTCGTCGTTTTTCTCACACACCTCTATCATCTCTTGTCCTCTTAGCTGCCCGACATATCGGAGGCAGTAGCCATATTGTCTTGAATAAAGATATCCTGTTTTGCAGGGACCTTTAGTATAAAGCAGAATAGCAGGTTCATATACCATTTAAAATTACCTACATATCGTTTTAGAGTATAATTTTTTAAATTATTTTTATTTTTTGTTCGTTTAGTTGTTTTCGTATGTTTTTATTTATTTATTTATTTACATGTATTTATTATTGACTTTTTTTTTTTATAAATTCATCTTTGCAGTTTCAAGGTTTGAATGTAATTCAGCAAAATTCTCGTACATGTAAGTTGGTGTATGTATTAACTAATTTCAAACAGATTGAAGAAGAGTTGTACATTTCATCTCAGTGAAAAAATACTACTTAATATAATGATCGTTTGATGAGGAGATGATGTTATACAAATAGATATAAATCAATTCTATTGATTATACTTTTTCTTTTGAACGTTGCAGAGGAAAAATGCAAATTAACAAAATTAACGATCCTGAGGCATTGTTGCATGAGATTAACTACCACTGTTAATAAGATGTATTTATAAAAAAAATCTTTGAAGTATGATAGATATTTAATACCTTTCAATGTTGAATATAATTTGGTATAGAAAAAAGGCAATCGATTGAAATGTTTAGTAATATGACTTTTTTGTTGCCATCATATTAGCATGTAGTAAAAGGAATCTTTCAGTTCTGTGGGGTAATTTTGATGAAAGGTATAGAGTAAAATATGCTTATAGCGATTCCTTATAAATGTAATTCGTTGTATCTGACAAGTTTTAAATAAGTTTAAAAAGTACAGTTATTAAAACACTTAGCCTCACCAATTAAAAACGTGAGTTCTTTATCAAGTCGGTTTACATATAGATCACAACACGCGTATAGCAGAAAATCACACAGATTAATACAATCATACACGTTACATGTATGTTTTATTGCATTTCACACAACTGTAATTAAATTGTTTATAATATACAATTATTATTGACTGGGTTCGAGGGCAACATGCATTTTGTTGGACCAAAGAGCCAATTTGTTTGCTTGAGGCCGTTAAGCCGAAGGCAAACAGTTTATTTGGTTCGAGGGGTCGACAAAGCGCATTTTGCCCGAGAACACACCAATAACTGTTTTGTTATACTTTTACTTTTTATTTTGAAATATATTGTGCTGATCATGACTTCCATGTTTGCCAAAATTGATAAGATGTAGCTGATCCTGCATATATGTACACTGTCAGCTAGGTTAAAAACGTCATAGCGGTCCGATATCTCATCGACAGGTCCAATATCTCACTCCGCGGTCCAAAATCGATTTTTTGACCGCTCAGAAAAGCATTGGAAATGTTAGACTTTTTCAGTACAGATTTATATAGGAAAGTCAAACAATTTTAAAGGTTAATGTATAATGTTACATCATATGAAATTGTTTACTTCATCGATCACTTTTATTTAACTTGCTATGAAGCATCATATGATTGTCGTTCTTGTCATCGAATTACTCTCATAACTTATTTAATACCATATTACATCATATGAAATAATTAATTTCCTCGAAGTACTCTCATAATTTAATTTATTATGATACATTATGAAGAAGTTCATTTCATCGAAATACATTTATTAACTTACCAATGTCTGAGAATGTTCTCCAACCAACAGAAAATGAACCAGTCTCATTCATCAGGAAATGGGTCCAGTAAAGTCGACACTGGTTCTGTTCCTCGTGGATTTGGAAAGAGGCACATATGGCAAAGTTCATACATCTCACAGAACATGCATTCGGACTGTGGACAGTTGTTTGCAATAATAGAGCATAATTAAATAGAAGATCATTAAGATCGGTTTGTAAAGAGAACTGCGTTGATCTCGTCACAAGTGTGTCTTTCAGGGATATAACATTGACAAGAAACAAGAGAAATATTTCAGCTTCAAAAAGATGCATCACGCTGCGAAAACTTTGTTTCTGGGGAGTTTGTCTGCAACTGATCATAATAGTTATCTTCAGACGTTGTGATATAGATTTTAATATACATTAACTAATTAAAAAAATCAATGAGCATGAGAGTTGATGATTTATATAATGAATTACAATGAACATCTCTCTCTCTCTCTCTCTCTCTCTCTCTCTCTCTCTCTCTCTCCGTGTGTGTGTGTCAAAACTTATTCATTACGTATAGCAAATGTTACAGTACCTTTTCTTTGTTTAATTAGAGATGGAGTGCATATATGGGAAAAGGCCAATAGATCAACCTGAACAACACGAAACGAACAGAAGAGACAGATAGATGGCTGTGTGTTGGTTCCAATCCTCGAAAAGTTTAATAAAATAAAAATATAAGTAACATTAATTTATATGGGATTTATGAAAAAAAAACGCTCAGGGTAGCCTTAGTAGTAGGCCAAGGCGCTTAATTGCTTCGTGATCGTGAGGTACGGATTCGATTATTGTTCCAGGCCCTCCGTCAAACCTAAGAGGTTTAATTAACATATATACATGTAGGTATAGTGACTGTGTTAGGCATGAAAGTCAGGGGTCTTAAAAATATACACGGTAGGTCCCGAGTCATGGTATAGGTGTTAACATGCTAAAGAACCATCACTGCTCTATGGCTCGGAGAGCCTAGCAACGGTCTAAAATTGCTGACGTCTCATATGAATGAAAATTATTCTCGTAAGGGACGAAAAACAAAGAAACAAACAAAATGCATAATGTAGTATAACAGTGTTAGTGGAAATCAAAATAAATAAATAAAGCTGTGCGTTTTAGTACTCTACTGAGAACAGTCTTTCAAACATCTCGGTTAGGATCTCATCGAAATATTCATGAAATATTTAATTTTCATATTTAATTTTTGTGATATATTTTATACACTTTACTTGTCTATGAGAAGAATATACCACATCCACTATTTCAAGTTTTACTGTCAAAGACCAGCAGAGCTAATTTGATTGTAAGGTTTCTTTCGACCATCTGTCTAGCTTTTTGTAAACATTTTTTTCAAATTTTTGTACTCTTCCTCTGGGTCCGATTTCAATAAAACTTAGTATATGTACACATTTTCATGTAGCCTATACTTAGACACATAACTGTAAATCGAAATTGGATTGAGAGATACGGTGTTGCCATGGTTACTAATTTTTTTTGTGTGTGAAATTCTTTCGATACGCTATTCCTTCAACAGTTTTGGACCAAGTAAAGTGTAATTATTGGATGGATGATTTTTGAAATAATTCTTTGATTGTTGAGAGGGGATGATATTTCAAAATTTTGTCTAAAGATAGGACCTTGATATGCATACATTGAATCTTGATGTTAACCTTTTATAATTCAAATTAACGAAACAAATATCAGTTATAACTGTACTGAAGTTAGGAATATATGTCATCAATTAAAAAAAAAAAGAATGTGGAATAGATTAAAATTGCATGTCAGTATAACAACTGGGTTTCATTAGCTCACTCATCATCTTTAACTGAATTAACCTATCAATCTTATTCGTCCAGTTTGTTTTTTTTAAGAATTTTTTCACTCATATTGAGACGCTGCCACTTGCCTGTGGAGGGTAGCAAATTTAGACCTGTACTCGGCAATTACGACCTTTGAGCAGTGAAGAATCTTTTTCGTGCCAGCCTCTGCTGAGACACTGGACCTCAGTTTATACGGTCTCATCCGCAGAACCCGGTCTCCACGTCCCGCAGTAAGATTCAAACGCTCGACGTCAGGATCAACTCCTTACTCTGCGACTCTAAAGGAAACACTCTAACCACTGCGGCAAGCGGGCGACTACTCCTCAAGTACCAAAATATGAGTGTTTCCCATTTTATAACATTAATCACAGTCAATTTTTTAATCTACATACATCTTATAATTTGCCATATCAATAGATTTTTTTTAATAAAAGTATTACACGATCGAGTTCTTGTATTTGTCTTCATAAATAAATGTTTAATTGAAGTGCTAAATAAACAGATGCCTCCACCAAAACCATTTTTTAGAAAAAGGTACCTACAATAAAAGCAGAGTTTTAGTGTATGCAGTGCCTTTAAACTATCTCCAATAAAACCCATCTAAGTAAGTACTGAAGCAAAACATGATAAACAGGCTGTTTTGTGGAAGTATTCCGCGTATCAGATTGAACAGTCATCTTACATACATCAATGTTCCGCAGAAAATAGTCCAACAATCATAAGTTGCTCGTTATTTGTTCATGCCATGTACGTGTATAGTTGACAAAATGAAGGAAACTGTAGAGTGAAGATTTGGAAAAAGATGGCAACTTAAGATTTACAACAAAATTTAAAAGAAAGAAACATAAGCGTTATATAAGATACATCTATAGCGTAAATCCCATTCCAATTGCAAGTATTATACTACATGTATATATATACAAGGTCTTTATAAATTTAATGATTAAAATTTATTTCAAAAGGATATTTTTTATAAGTAATCTTACCAGGAAAAAGATTTTCTATAAATAAGTGAGGTATGTTGTAAATCACCAGGTTTGAAGTTTTAGTGTACAGAAAACCTTCCGGGATAGAGGAAGTTTTTCAGACCTAAAGGTTTTATATACAACTCAAATCATATCTAAAAAGGTTCGTGATTTTAAAAAATTATAAAAAGCACATGTCTGTAAAACTGGTGATCATTTTTAAGGCATATGTGTGGTTCTAATTTTAACATTTCAAAAAATTCAAATTAAATTGTTTAAATAGAGCGCTGGGAAGTTATGGAAATTAGAGGAAAAAATGTATAAAAAGCAGAAGAATTTTTTTTCCTTAAATAGATACCCTTGTACATGTAGTTCCCAAATTTTTTATGATTGATATTTATGAACAACTAACCTGACTATCAACTTTGGATAATCTCTCTCTCTCTCTCTCTCTCTCTCTCTCTCTCTCTCTCTCTCTCTATATATATATATATATATATATATATATATATATATATATATATATATATATATATATATATATGTATATATATCCCTTTCATGAGGTCGATCCATACATGTAGATATATCCACTTCACAGAAAAGCATATCGACCGTATATTTGCCAGTCTTGAATTTCCATGTTTTTTTTCTCAAAAACTAGTATTAATCAAAACTTAACAAATTTTGTTTGGCTAAACCATGGCAACCATGAAAGCTATTTTTAGAATAATATTGTCAATACCTAATTACTAAAGGTAAAATATGTCTTTTATTGTTTTTCTTGAGTTGTTGATTGAGTTTGATCATACAACACCTATCATAAGTGAAAATTGAGCGTTTTTCAATATTTTTCAGCATTTAAAATGCATTTCAAATGTACCCTCAGCTACTACAGTACCTGGCCATAAGTGAGTCATAATTTTATTTTTCCGCTATATATATTTCATTGAAAAATTCATTTTGGGGAAATATTGCGCTGTTATCTGTTGCTTATTTTATACGACTAAAACACCATAAAATGTAGAATTCTTTGCAGTTTTTTCACATAATTTCAAAATAATTTTATCTTTAGGTATTGTGGTGATATCACCTGTCAAATGCTAAATAAAAATTTTAAGACTCTTATTTGTTAAGATATCATAGTAATCTGAGGTTAGAAATTTTTGTCTCGACGGTTTCATAATTTTTTCTCAATATTGATTAGTGCATCATTTTGTGTAGAGTTTTAATACAGGAAAAATTGAACAATTCATTGATTCATTGAAAAAATCATGGAATTGGGCAAATGACCTCACAATAGGATCTTATAAAAATTGGTTTTTCAATGAAATATATAGTGTGAAAATGTAATTGACTCACTTATGGCCATATACTGTACTTACTTACATGTAATTAGAGATACATTCTAAATTTAGTCTCTATCTACATGTAGCATAAGTGGCAACAATGTGTCATGTTTTTGTGAGAATGGCCGGTTTGTTTGTTTTTCTTATAGTCTTTATTGAGGCTCAATAAAAGATTCAAAGTAGCTAAAAATATCAATTTTTCAAACTTTTTCAATTTTTTTCTCCAAAAATCCCTGGATCCCCCTCCCCGCTGTTAAGATCCGCGCATGGTAACAATACACCTCACTAGTTCTAAAATAAATAATTTACTTCTTCATATGTAAATGTGACCAGGGTGGTGTATTAAAATTGTTGTCACTCTACATCTTATAACACAAAGCCTATATCATGTATATTAAGTGTTATATAACACTAAATTTCCTCTTAGCTAATGCTGATGTCAACATAATATTCCATCCTTAAAAGGGTGTTTATCAATGAAAAACGTCCCTTTTCACGACATACACACATATGTCACATAATCAATAAAAGAAACAACACTTTGTCAAGCATGCTGGTCATTGAGTAGCTCGTTTCCGGGACGTAGGTATATAGAAGGAGTGATTGAGAGGATTCTAATTTTACTTTGTACTTTCTTTTCCTGTTCCGATAACAAGTATGTTATTTATTAGTACGTATTTATAACGATGGGGCGTCTTATAGGGTTGATTTGTCTCACATATGAATGTGCACGTAAGTATATATTTTCTGAGCTATTGAATTTAGCTATTTGACTTTTATTGCATTACAATTTTCATTAGTGAAAATAATGCAGACCTTGTACCTTCTGTACTTTCACTTTTGATGACCCACTAAATGAATAAATATCATATCTCCTTAACGTTCAACAGTTCAATATATCTTTGTATTTTAATCTCACAGTTGCACTTGAAGATTATGGGGAAGGGGTGTGCAAATCGTTTTCTGTGATATTCGGCGCGTTTGATTTTTCTCAAGGGGTTACTGTCATTTCGCCCCAAAACCAGAACGCCCCATGCATGAGCGCCCCAAATATTTTTACCGGCGCCCAAGTACAAATATGAGCGCCCCAAACTTATTCCACGGGCGCCCCAAATTAGCATTTCGAGCGCCCCAAACAACATCGTCCGATCTAACACAGGTATCTGTAGGTGCTCTCGTTATGTGGTAATTTTATACATATAAGTACTTCATCAGTTATATTTTATTTTTGGAATATTTCACTTGAATCTATGTTGAAATTGACTTATGTTTAGTTGCATACAACTGTACAAAATATTCTTTTGTTTGACTTTCCTTCTTCAAAGAACACTTGTGTAATATTCTTTTATATTATCAACTTTTAAATATTTGTGTAATTAAAAACGATAGTTTCAAAGTCTGAGCACCGCTGTTATCCCACATAAAGGAGCCCGCTCAATTATAATCTCATAATTATTTCATAATCCTAGTTTACAAATCTTGGGGCGTTCGTTATACTTAAAATCTGGTGCACTTATGATAGATATAATTTGGGGCGCTCGTGAATTGTTCATATCAATATATTTTTAACATCGAAATGTTAAAAAAAAAAAAAAAAAGCCAATAATTTATTTCTTTACTAGTTAATGAGCCTTGGGGCGATCGAAATGCTGATTTGGGGCGCTCGTGAATTAAGTTTGGGGCGCTCATATTTGTACTTGGGCGCCGGTAAAAATGTTTGGGGCGCTCATGCATGGGGCGTTCTGGTTTTGGGGCGCAGTGACTAGCACCCTTCTCAAGAACAGCAAATTATGGTTTGTAAGTGCAGTGTAATAAAAATAAGTTTTCTAACGGTCTACCGCAGGAACACGTTTCACAAAAGGACTTACGATTAAAACCAAAATGTTATTAGATGAGTAACATTCTTTTCTTTTCTTTTTTTTTTTTTTACATTAATTTGAAAAATGGTTTTAATATTTTTAAAAGACTATATATATATATATATATAAAGCACAAAAAAAATTCACTTTTTACAAGGATACCCACTTCCGCCCCAGCCCGGGGTTGAACTCTCGACCTACGGAATCTCTCTCCTAGCAGTACAGGAACAGCGCGCTAGACCGCTCGGCTATCTAGGCAAGTCAAAAAACTTGCTTTCGATGCCGATGGAATTCTCGCGGCGTTGCTCTACACTACATGGTCATTGAGAATGGAAGCGAGATACAGTTATTTGGACATTAGTTTTATTAGAGGATTGTTACCAATACACGTTGTAATGAAATTAATTTTTATTTATAAAGCACATTTTACAACAACTCTTAAACTGATATAACTGCCCTAAGTGAAGAAATATTAATATAAAAAGCACAATATATATATATATGATATACAAGCAAATTTTTAGAGAAACATCAGTTTTGTAAGATTTTACAATTGAGTTCAGTTTTAGGTCTTTTTCATAAGTTCTTTTGTAAAAATTGCCCCTGAGGTAAGAGATTTTTTTAAAGTGGATTCAGCAATGTCCATACACTTTTCAACACATGCATATGTCACCTGGTGCAGGAAATTATGTTCATGAAATGTATGTAACATGTCTACACCTTATGTGAGTAAATTCACAAATCCCCAGGTCTCTGCTATATCCAAGTTTTACTGTATGCCCTAAGATATTCCACTACAGTCAAACCTCATTATCTTGAACTCAAAACTTCAAAATATCCTAGGGTTCAGGATATTGAGGTTAAAATACTTAAAGAAAAATAATGAGTGAATGGGACTTCCAACTCAGTTCGACATATTCATGATATTCAAGATATCAGTGTTCAAAGTACCAAAGTTCAATTATGCAAAATTGCACACCTAAATGTATGATTACGTGTAGATATGTAATTTTGCATAATTTGATAATGTGATGTAAGTACACGTCATGTAAATAGAAATAGATATTGCAATTTTTTGAAAAATATGATTTAGCCATCTCAGACAGAGGACTAAAGTTTTCACTGAGCCCAAAGAGATACTTGAGAATGACATTTTTGCAAAGCAGACAATTTTGTGTAATTAAGTAAAAATTAAGTTCCTATGAATAAAAAAAGGGAGGTAAGTATGTACCGTAACTATATGTCTCCAATTTATTTTTGCAGGAAGCTGAGTCATGGATAGATTGAAAAAATTGGATGTGAACATGGAATGGATGACTCCGAGAAATGTCTCTGTTGTTTTTCTGAGTCTTGTGACCGTGAAAGCTTCCCACTCCATCTATAAATATTATAGGGCAAAGTCAAAGGTCAAAGCCAAGAGAGAAGAATGCCTAGCTGCTTGTGAGAAGTTAGCAGAACATTTAAATAAAAAAGGGGTATGCATTTTTTATTTCTTTTTTTTTCTCCTAGAAGAGGTTCTTTGTAGCCTAGCTGGTCCAATTCTTATGGAAGGTATGTTATTTAAAGATTATGGAAACTGTTTATGAAATATCAAACCAACTTTGAATTACATGCAGTCTTTCAATTTTTAGCTCACCTGAGTGGAAGGCTCAAGTGAGCTTTTCTAATCAAAATTTGTCCTTTGTCTTTGTCATTGTAAATTTTTCACATTTTCATCTTCTTCTCCAGAACCACTGGACCAGTTTCAACCAAACTTTCCACAAAGCATCCTTGGGTGTAGGGGATTCAAATTTGCTCTAGTGAACTAATAGCTACACCCTCTTTCAAGGGGAGATAATTAAGAATTAGTGAAAAATTAATGGCATTTTTCAAAAATCTTTTTCTCTGGACCAGAAGAGTTGAAACTTATCTTGCTTATGTTAAAGCTTTATTGCATAGTGTAGATTACAGTTTATTCAAAACATGATCCCCAAAGGTAGGGTAGGGCCACAACAGGGGATCAAAGTTATGCATAGGAATATATAAAGGAAATATCTTTTAAAATCTTCTTCTCAAGAACAGAAAAGCATGATAAGTCATATTCATATAGAAGCATCCTCAGGTAGTGTAGATTCAAATCAGTTCAAATCATGACCCCCTGAGGTAGGGTGGGGCCACTATGGGCAATCAAAGTTTTACATAAGAATATATAGGGAATTATCTTCTTCTCAAGAACATCAAAGCCATGATTAGTAATATTAATATGGAAGCAATTTTATATGAATCATCACTCCCTGGGGTTAGGGTGGGACCACTTTTATATTTAAACTTTTCAATATTGAACTGATTTCTGCTTGTCTCTAACCAAAGTGCTCAGATGAGCAATGTGGCCCATGGGCATCTTGTTGTTTTTTTTTAATATTTAATAAAAGAAAATTTTTCATGAAACAGGACTGGTTACATTCTTGTAGTGTATGTATGATACCAAACTCTTATCTTAATTTCTTTTCACATGGATGATTTATTTTGTACAGTATATATGCATAACCAAGAACAGAAAGAAATTATATAAAATTATGTGTAAAATTCTACAAGAAATGAATCATATTATTGAAATATCAGGTCCAAAAGTATATTCAATTTTATTGATCATGTCTTTGAAGAATCATTCAATATTTCTCACCAATTTATAAATTATAAACAAGAGTTAATTTATCACCAATTCAAATATTTCACTTTAATTACTATTTAAATTTATTCAATTTTTTCATATTAAGCACATCTATCACTTGATCACTACAATTACTCTACTAATAAATACATGTATTAAAGATGAAACTTGCATCCATATCAGACATAATTAAGAATAATTTGAAGGAAATGAAGGAAAAACACACGATTGAATCAAAGTCTTAAGAGTTAATTCTTTATAATTATGTGTGCGGAAACATTGAAAAAAGGTCAAAATAAGTTAAAGGATTTTTGTCTCTACAGATTACTCAAGAAAAGAAGGATGCCATAACGAGGCTGTCAATCACAGAGCTCATAGAGAAGCTCCAATCAGGGGAGCTGAAGGCAGTGGACGTGTACGAGTGTTATCAAGCCGCAGCCCTCGAGGTCAATCGCCGTCTTAACTGTGTGGTGGAGCCAATCTGGGAGGCAGAGGTAAGGAGCATTAGACCGTCTCTCTAATCATGATCTATGTAATTAGTGTAACTTAGCTTTAGTTGCTTTTCACGTTTAGTGCATCTATTAAATATGAACTTCAAGCTTAAAATGTGTAAGGGAGAGAACTCTTAGAGGCTTGATCTGCTTTTTATTTCTTTTCAATTCTGGATAGAATATTAGAGAAAAATAATAAAGCTTGATTGATAGGTTAACGAAATAAATTTCTTGACAGAAATATCAATTAATCATTATTAATGGTGTTCTGTTGTTGAATGTTATTTTCATTAAAACTGCTGATATGTTATATTTTCATTTAGCTTTACGTATTTGAATGCTTTTTTTATCAGATCTTTTAATCTTTTAAATGTTTTTGTTAAACCTTTTCCCTTTTGTGTGAAATACTTGAGTGAATTGAGTTAATAAGCTCACAGGCACTTGGGGTATGGACCTCCCCCCCCCCCCCCTTTTCCATTTTTTTTTCTTTTAAAATCTGGGGTCCAGTCACCTTTTCCCTATTTTTGTATTCTAATATGCACTATATATTATCAATAATGCAACTCTTTTGTTTCTATCAGCTGTTTTTAAATATATCGTTTTTGACTGATACATAAAAAGAGAGCAGTCGAAAACGATATATTTAAAAGCAGCTGATAGAAATAAAAGAGTTGCATTATTGATAATATATAGTGCATATTAGAATACAAAAATAGGGAAAAGGTGACTGGACCCCAGATTTAAAAAGAAAAAAAAATGGAAAAAAGGGGGGGGGGGAGGTCCATACCCCAAGTGCCTGTGAATAAGCTTGTTATATTTTCAAAAAAATTAAAAATATAACAATAATTCTTTTAATAGCCTGAATTTATTAAGCTTGCCTGGAATTTTAAAAAGGTACCTGATTGTCATGTTTTTTTTAATGTTTTCACGAAGATTTTACCTTTCTTTTCCAGAATTTTAACACATGTGTAGAAATGTTTGATGGTAGTATATTAAAAAAGTATTTAAACAATTAAAAAAAAAATTAACCCTCAAATCCATTGCAGTGAAAAAAAAAACAGTTACTAACTTTTAATGTTTACCTATTATGTACATTGTAATTAAGGAAGTGGGTTCCCTCTGTCTACTGTGTGTGTGCAGTGTGTGTGATGTCACCAATTCTTAATTAACATTTATTAATTACTAATTTATCTGAATTTAACAGATCCTTCAGTCAAGTTGAGAAGCTTTGTGAAAAATATGTCTGGTTTGGGTAGAGGCCTATACTTAATATAAATGTATTTCCAAGTTGTATTGAATTACTGTATCACCTACAGCTGTACATTTATTTAATCTTTACATGTAAACATGATATAAAGTCACCCAGTTAGGTGCATACATGTCTGTATTGTAAAACAGGTCTAGTAGATTTTCTTTCAATTTGAATACCCAGTACTTTATATGTGGAGGCAGCACAATTAGGAATATTATTTGCATATATTAAAGAGAAAATTTCTGCTTAAAAGAGAATTTTATTTTTTAAAAGGTTCTTTATTTAAAGAAATTTGATAAGCTTTAATACCTGATTATGGTCTACATCTGACATACATGTACATGTATATTAAATGCATGGGAAAAAAATCTATCTGTAGAAAAAGTCTCAAATGATTTTTTTTCTGGATGACTTTAATATATTTTAAATTGTTTAAATGCAGGAAATGGCCATAGAAAGGGATCAAAGGTCAGGGACAAAGGGGCCACTACACGGTGTTCCTGTCAGTATCAAAGAAAATTACTATATCAAGGTATAACACAGGTGCACATGTATCAGGTGTCATACAGGTGTACATATATCTGGTGTCATACAGGTGTACCAAAGATTTCTAAATTTAGAATTATTATTTAACTATATAAAGCATAGACATAAAAAAGATGCTGGCTTGTTTGTGAAAGTTGCAGGTAATTGTATTGAATTACCGAGAAAGTACTTTTGACTGCAGTGTTTCCAACCATCCCAATGACATTTTTGTTTTACGTGATATATTTGTACATGTAGTTAAATATTGCAAAAGCAAGCCCATCATCCAAAAATCATTTTTAATGTGTTAATTTTAGATATTTTTCATGTTTTTATTACTGAGGTAAAACATATCTAAGCTTTAACATATAGATGTATACATAAAGTATTTGACAATGTAGACAATATACATTTTCAATTGACAGAATTGATAAATTTCATATTTACCTATACATATACAAATGTTCCTGCAAGTATTGTACATGCATTTGTATGTAACAGGGCTATGACTGCACAGCTGGTATGCAGAAATGTATAGGAGAACCAGTGTCAGAAGATGCTGTTATTGTCAAGGTTTGGTATCTGTTTATTGCATGTACATACTGTAAAAGCAGAAATATTCGTTGGGAATTAAATTTCGTTTATTTCGTTGTTTACAATTATCAATGAAATTAAATCCCACACGAATTTTTTATATGACTATAAATTGTGTAGAGTAACATTCGAAACAACAAAATTTAATGCCAATGAAACCTTTTTAGATGACAAATCAACGAAATTTTATCCACACGAAAATTTGTGCTTCTACAGTATTTCATTGGAACTATTATCTCAAAAACAACCAGCTTTTCTTTGGGTGTATCTTCCTTCTTGAAAATTACAGCAAAATGAATTAATTAGACTCAGTATTGTGAAATAAAATTTGATCATGTACCAGTACTTACTGCACTGAGATGCATTATTTTTATCCAAATTTTATATTTCCTCTCAGGTTCTCAAGAAGCAGGGAGCAGTGCCTTTTGTTCGTACCAATGTCCCTCAAACCATGATGACATTTGAGTGTTCTAATCCAATATATGGCAGGACTCTAAATCCCCATGATGAAGACCGAGGCCCTGGGGGGTCATCTGGTGGGGAGGGGGCCCTCATAGCTGCAGGAGGATCCATTTTAGGGATTGGTACTGATATTGGGGGAAGCATCAGGATACCTGCTAACATGTGTGGAATCTGTGGTCTGAAACCAACTGTAGGAAGATTGAGGTAGGGCAAGCATTTATGTAAACATGGAAATCTTTGGGGGAGGGGGTTGAAAATTTTGTGATAAATACAGTTTTTCAACATTTATCACTCACCAGTGGAATGGTTTGAAAAAGAGGTACTACAGTGCACTTTATGCATGTGTTTGTAAATTCTGTAACCTCAGCAAAAAAAGCATACAAAGCTTTGTTATATGGATATTACAAAATTTTCCTCCCACAAAAAATCCACTTTTTAGCTCAACTGAGCTGAAAGCTCAAGTGAGCTTTTCTGATCACATTTTATCCATCGTCCGTCTGTCTGTCTGTCTGTCCGTCTGTAAACTTTTCACATTTTTGACTTCTTCTCCAGAACCACTGGGCCAATTTCAACCAAACTTGCCATGAATCATCCTTGAGTAAAGGGGATTCAAGTTTCTTCAAATGGAGGGCCTAGCCCTCTTTCAAGGGGAGATAATTAAGAATTAGTGAAAAAATAATGGCATCATTTAAAAAATCTTCTTCTCAAGAACCACTGGGCCAGGAAAGATGAAACTTATGTGGAAATATCCTCAGGTAGTGTAGATTCAAGTTTGTTCAAATCATGACCCCCGGGGGAAGGGTGTGGCCACAATGGGGGATCAAAGTTTTACATAGAAATATATAGGAAAATATCTTTAAAAATCTTCTTCTTAAGAACAAAGCCATGATTGGTCATATTTATTTGGAAGCATCCTCAGGTAGTGTAGATTCAAGTTTGTTCAAATCATGACCCCCGGGGATAGGGTGGGGCCACAGTGGGGGATCAAAGTTTTACATAGAAATTTATAGGAAAATATCTTTAAAAATCTTCTTGTTAAGAACAGCAAAGCCATGATTGGTGATATTTATATGGAAGCATCCTCAGGTAGTGTAGATTCAAGTTTGTTCAAGTCATGACCCCTCCCCCCCCCCCCCCCCCCCCCCGATAGGATGGGGGATCAAAGTTTACAGAGGATTATATAGGAAAAAATCTTTTTCTCAAGAACAGAAAAAGTCATGATTAGTCAAATTAATATGGAGGCATCCTTGGGAGTGTAGAATGAAATTTGTTCATATGAGGGCCCCCAGAGGTAGGGTGGGGCCACAATGGGGGATCAAAGTTTTACAAATAAATGTATGGGGAAAAATCTGCTGCTCAAGAACAGCAAAGCCATTTGATATCAACCCCCCCCCCCCCCCCCCCCCCCCCGGAAACTTTTCAATACTAAACTTATTTATCAGGTGAGCGATGTGGCCCATGGGCCTCTTGTTAATAAAATTTCCTTATACACATCCCTTAGATATCTTACCTTCCTCTCTCTGTTGGAATGTGCACACATTTAGGTGAAGCAGAATAAAAACTGGAACTCTAGGATTGCTAACATTGAGAAATTTTGTTTGAAAAAACCTCCATATTCAATAATCAAGTATTTATTTCTAAAGTGTCCAGTTGTGAAAGGAATATGAAAATTTCATACCTCAAATAAATTGAAAATATACATGTATACACAGTTGTACAAATTTGCTTTTTAGCTTTCAGTTTTGGTTTGCATGAATGATCTTAAATCTATGTACATACATTTTCTGTTTTATTTGCAGTTCAAATGGTACTCATAAACTAACAAAAGGCCAAACCTTAGGTAGGCTAACAATTATTTCATTAACAATATTAGATTCAAATTTTTATTTCATGAAAAAATACAGTAAGCTGTATTTCAGTCTGTATATATAGCTGTGTTTTGTTCTGTTTTTTTTTAAATCAGCTTGTACCGGTATGTTCAAAATTGCATGTACATTGAAAAGAGGTGTATTCAAGCCTGCAAAAAAAAATTAATATTTTAAATTCTCATTTTTAGCTCTACTGGTCAGAGACCAGAAGAGCTTATGGTATATAGTAAGGTGTCAATCATCTGCCTAGCTGTCCATCTGTCTGTAAATGCTACTCCTCATACAGTTTTAGTTCAATTTTAATAACACTTGGTACACAAGTACACTATACTCATGATACTAATTAAGATACATAATTCTGTTAATTTGTTTTTGATTTAAACAAAAAATGTTGCCATGGTTACTAAAAATAGAAAATTTTGCAGAAGTTCTTTCAAAACACTATTACTTTAAGTTTTTAAGTCCAGTTTCAATATGACTTGGTACACAAGTACACTATTTAAAGATGCATATTTCTATTCATCTGTTTTTTTTAATTTCCACAAAGGATTTTGCCATGGTTATTAAAAATAGAAATTTCTGTGAAGTTCATTCTAAATGCTTCTCCTCCTACAGTTTTGGTCCAGTTTCAACAAGACTTGATACACAACTACAATATAAATGTAATAAAATACATAATTCTATATATATTTGATTATGATTTCAACAAATGTTACCATGGTTACTAATAAAAGTAGAAATTTCTGTGAAATGCTAAAACACTACTCCTCCTACAGTTTGAGTCGAATTTCAGTAAGTACACTATATACCAAGATGCACAAAGTACACACCAGTAGAGCTACAGTCTCATCAGAGACTTCTGGTTATGAATAACCCCTCACTTTTGTCATCAGACTTAACAGGGATACAAATGTATGTTGAAATGAGTTAGCATTCCAACAATATTCAAAACTCAGTTTTCATATATCTTGAACCCTCATACAAGTTTTAAAATGTCCTACCATATTTTAAAGATATGAAAGATGAAGGTACGGTTTGGGCTTTACTGAGCCCTTAAAATTTTATGTTTTCAAAAATTAAGTTATGAAATTGGCTTAGTTATGAGTTGAGTATATGAATGTGATAAATCAGGAAAGAATATGGCATGAAGGAGGACTATTCTGGAAATATGATGTCATAAATTTGGTACAGTTCGAAGTTTTAAACTGAAAAAGCCTCAAAATGACTCATTTCGGGGGGTACTTTCCCTTAAGAAAACAACTGTGTCCAAAGCCATCGCCCACTTCAATTTTCAGATATGTTGCGTAAAATCCTTTGAAAAATCACATTTCTCAAAATCTTTGTTGGCAATGCGTGTGCTCTGTATTATCTGAAAGAAAATTCCACTGAAAATTGATGTCATCTGCAACTTTTTAAGAAAATAGGGAAAATGCATAAGTTCATGACATCCCAATTAGCATTTAGGAGGTCATATGAGAAATTCAAGTACATGTGTGTAGTATGTTCTTACTGCATGGAATTTCAATGATTCAGAAAGGATGGGTTTTAATATCTTAAATCATTTCCATATAAAATACAGGACCAGATTTGTATTGAAACCCTACCTTGTTTTTTGACTACATACATTGTATACCTTTTTGCTACACAATTTGATAGTTTGATAAAAAAAATATATATATATATATTAAGTATAAAAACAATAAAAGACATTTAAAAGCCTATATACATATGTCCCGATACATGTATAGTGCTTAAAAACAAACAGCACACACAGTAACAGAACAGTGATATTTCATTGAGAATTTGTTTTTGATTGAACAGTAAGATCAGCTGCTGGAGTGCTGGCCAGAGATGTTGATGGTGTTGTCATAGCAATGAGAGCTCTTTTATGTCAGTATATGTTTGACCTTGACCCCACAGTTCCTCCAATACAGTTCAGAGAGGAGGTGAGAATGGTTGTAACCTTATTATAACAGTAATATATTTTGTCTATAAACATTAAATTCAAAATGATATGCATGCATAATATATATTTGTTCTTTTATCTGACCACATACATGTATCTGCTTTATGCATGTTAAATATCGCATGGATATATACGGTCAAAACGGACAAAACTTTTTTATCTAGAACTCGATAGGACTGAGAAAAAACTTCAAGATATCCGAGGATTTGAGATATCAGGGGTAAAATACTTAAAGAATAAGTGGTTGGGACTTCCAAATCACTTTGACATATCCATGATATTTAAGATATCAGTGTTGGAGATACCGAAGTTCAACTGTAGCTAAATGCAAAGAACATTATACAATTATTGCTGGTTTTTGAGGCCAATACGATGATTTAGACACATGAGGAGTACAATATTTACCGAGCCAGAAGGGTAAAGGGGGCATTAAAAGGAAAAAAGTGATAATTAACTTACTTGAAAACAAATCTTTGAACCCCCCCCCCCCCCCCCCCCCCCCCCAAAAAAAAGGAAAAGAATTCTCCCAACTCAATTTAGTGGGATGTAAAGGTCCATAAACTTATCCTTTCTTATCCTTAAAATTTAAATTAAAACTTTACATTCTCAAAAGGTGTGCCTTAATGTTATGTTCATATGAGTGGAAGTCAGGTGCAAGTGAAATAACTTTCCAAAACTATTTGCATCAATTTGGAATTTCCTTATTTATTTTTGGTCCAATGTAGAATAAATAATTCCTTTAATTGACCTGGAAGGTCACGTGCAGGTCAATATAAGGCAGTATTTTTCTAACATTGTTGGATCTCAGCCAATCAGAGAGATGGGAATTATTCAATCATATAATAATCAAAATTGTTTCTGAATCAATATATCAGTAATTTGCTACTGTTGGTATTTTTCTAAGTTTGAAATTCTTGGTGAAAAAATGACTTCATTATGAGCAGATATTCACTTTATGCATATTCATTATAAGCATGTTTTATTGAATCTTTTGGTTATATTCTGTAGATATACAGTGATAAGGCTCCACTCCGGATTGGATTCTACCTGGATGATGGCTACATTCCCTCAGTGCCCTCAATGCACCGAGCTGTGGAGAAAGCCAAGGTCATACTGGAAACTCAGGGTCATAAGGTCAGTATTGTCAGTGATGAAGATCACCTATCAGTCATGTAGATTCTTGCAAGGGTATTGATCTTCTATGTAGCAAGCATTTCTAGATATTCATGATCATAGAGCTACCTTAGCCTGAAATGCTACATTCTTCAATGGTCTGCTCATTACAACTAGTCTTTGTCAGAATTTGGTTAAAGATACAGTCAAATCTCGTTATTTCGAACTCGATGAGACCAAGAAAAAACTTCGAGATATCCAAGGATTCAAGATATCCAGGGTAAATTACTTAATGAATAAGAGGTTGGGACTTCCAAATCACTTTGACATATCCATGGTATTTGAGATATCAGTGTTTGAGATACAGAAGTTCAACTGTATTTCATTATTCAGAAAGAAGTTCAAATTGAAACATTTGCTTAATATATATTTAGTACCTAGAGATGAAAAGTAACCCTAGATTATATGGATATTAATTATTCTGCAAAGTAGTACATGTAATAACTAAGGTTGCCAATTTGAATTTGGTATCTACATGCAGCATCAAATATTTCTGCTAGTTTTCCCTTATGAACTAAACTTACAGATTGTTCAAAAACAAATTAGGGGCATGTAGGGCTACTTAGCTGCTGCATTTTTGAAGGCTCCCCTGGAAGGAAGTTTGGTATGGACTTGGAGGTACATTATTGTATATGTAAGTGTTAGAAATATTCTGATTACAAAACATGTTACTTCCAACAGTATTGTGTAAGTCCCTACATCTGACTAATTGTCTATATGCTTGTTGTTCTGGATTGGGAATTGAACCGGGGACCCCTGCATCTTTAGTCAGGTGCTCTACCGACTGAGCTACTTGGCCTGATATCCACGGCCCAAACCATCACAGCTGTCTGTCAGTTACCTTGCCCTGTCTGTCTTCCTAACTCACTTTCCATTGGGAGATGTACCCTGCAACCAGCAATATGTCTTTTTGGCACCACATTTTCTTCCAAGTTATTGTTCAAGTGCTTCATTTAAGAATTGTGCTAAAGATTAAAGCTCTTGTCTGATTATCAGATTTTTATTCCTTTAGATGATTCAAATGCAGCCACTGGATGCTAGGCGAATGTTTAAACTGTTTCTGGACACAGTGGGAGCTGATGGCACCAAAACCTACCGAGTCTGCATGTATGTTAATTATAACTCACGTGAATTAAAACTTTGTATCTAGTGTTAACTAACTCCAGTAATATACGTAGAAGTTTATTTTTCTGTGTGGTACTAATTAATCTATGTACACAGTCAAAAATTTTCCACGGAAATTTGTCCCAGCATATGTGTAAGGAATATACTGTATATTTTCACCCCGTGTTATTTTCACCCTGTCACACTTGCAAACAATTTTGCCATGTTTTAAATTCGCCCTGTCACAGTTCTGTTTAAGAAATTGTAATGACTTCTTTGAATTTGCCCCGTCTTAAATTAACCCACTTGTGTGTAGGGCTAAAGGGATGAAAATGAAACGGAGGCATGTTCCTCTTGATTGCCACATACATATACAGTATGCAGGATTATTGTCACCCTGTGTTACATAATGTATTTTTGACCAATCACACTTGCAAACGGTTTTTTCCAGTTTTAAATCCGCCCAGACAAGGGTGTGTCAAAGAAATAATTCTGTTTTCTTTGAATTTGCAAATTTTAAATTTGCCAACTTGTGATGAAGATGAAAGGGGCAAAAATAAAACGGGGCCAAATTTATCATGTATACAGTAATTTATATGCATGTGTTTTCCACATCTCAGTTTATGCATTTCATGCATGTTTATTAAAAGATTAAAAAAAACATTTTTTCTGCCATATTCCAGGGAGGACGATATCTATGATTCCACCGTTCGCCAGTTTTTCTTCACCTCCACTCTTCCAGGTGCTGTAAAGAAAGTCATAGGATGGGTAATGGCTGCCATTGCTAGGGTGAGTAATTCCATTCTCACTGGCCAAGTGATTATTTCTGGTATAGGGATGAGCGAGAATTATGAAATATGCTCATAAGTTGATGTTTTGTTAGCTTAGCGGTAAATGGATTGTAATACTTTTGCATGTGCAAACACAGTGAGTTATATGTTTTTTACTGGATACCATCAAAAACCTTTGAATAAATTATATACTTTAAACTTAGATTTGCCTCTTCAACCCATGCATGGATCCAGAAATTTTTTTTTGGGGGGGGGGGGGGTTACAATCACTTAAATAAAATCTGAGTCATAAATTTTTGACAAGAAGAAAAAAAAACATACAAAAAGAAAAAATTGGAAAGAATTTTCTAAACAAAAGAAAGGTTGGGGGTGGAGGAGGGGGGAGAACAAGTTGCTTTTCTACATATATGACTTTCCTTACCATTTTTTACAAGGGATCTATGTTTTTTAAGAGGTGGGGGGATTCCAAGGTCATTTTTGGGCCATGTTACTACCTGGTATATAAATTAAATAACTCGGAAAATGTAGAAGGGGGGACCTTCTAGATCTGTGCATGAATCCAATCTAGACTACCTCATCACATAATTCAGCTTATCCGGGACAGAGTCTAAAAAGTGCCATTTAAAATATTTCAGAAGTTCAGAGTTCTTTGATATCTACTTTTTGGTTTTAAATTGTTTGAACCAGATTAGAAGGGGTTGTGATGTATGCATGTTTATATTTTGTCATAATTAAGTTCTTTCCAAACAACAGTGGAAGTATACTGATTACTTTGTGACCTGGACATCCAAAAATGTTCACATTTGATCTATAAACCATATATACTATCTTTAGATTTTCGGATGACCACTCGATAGCTTTCATTACATCATTATTAAGTGTTGCTACACTACATGTAAACACTTCTTCATTAGGTTCTCATAGCAAAAATTTTGAATGTTTTATTTCTAATTTCTGTTGTAGGATGATATGCCAGGTTACATGATTAAAGCTTTATCAGGAATAGGGTAAGTGATCTAACTATTGATTTTAAAGAAAATTAAGACCTTCATCTGATTATATTGATCGAAAATGATAGCCGTAGGACCCATGTACATCAAAATGCAAGTAAACTTCATTTATAATTGTAAGTAATGTTTCACCCAACAAATTACTGTACCTATGTGGCAGATTAGATTACATGCAATTACCTTTATTAATACTCTGTTTCATTTTATTTGGATTTTTTTCAGGTCTGTTTATGATTATTGGAATCATGCACTTGACATTGAAGTAAGTTAAGATTTTGTTTTTATGTAAATCTAAGCATTTTCTGTGTCCATAATATTTTAAAAATTTTACAAGGAAAAAAAATTATCAATTTTATAATCAAAGGTAGAATGAGGACAAACAGTATTTTCTTGTTATTACATATGTTTTGTAATATTTTGAGATTTGGTAGAGGGTTGGGACTTACTTCCTTAGCAAGTGGATAGAGTAATTTTAATTTGCACAAGAAAATTTTCAAAATATTGGTGTTTATGCAGTTTTCTCAATGAGTTAGAGAAATATATTTCCTTTGCCATTCAAATTAATTATAAAATTTTATAAGAGGTTTTCTGTCAAACAAACAAAAATAAAATAATTCTGTATTCCATGCAATTCAGTATACATGACCCTGTTCCTAGAGGTCTAGTCTATTTCTCTGTCTTAACAGGAATATAAAGATGAAACCTTGGCCTTATGGAGATCCCAGGGAATCGATGCTGTTATCTGTCCAGGTTTTGCTTTTCCAGCTATACCACACAATTCCTTTGGAGACTTAGTTGGTGAGTGAAATGCAGGGGAAAAGCAGACTCATTAATTTATTGACTGTTAGTAGAGAAATAGGGTTCTAGCTGTCAACCACCTGAGGATGAAGACAAAAGGCTCATATCAGTCTTATCTGGAGAACGAAAACAGTTTACACCACATATGTCATGATGTACATGTATGTGCACGTATGGCCCTTTGTTTTTAATTTAAGTACATACACAATGTAGCTTTTAAAAAAAAATCTTATAACAGCAGATCTAGCTATTTTATTTTTCAAAATGAATATATATAGTTCGGCTTTCCATACTGTATTGTACTATTGTTTTTTTTTATATACAAGTGACTTTATTTATGTATTATGTCATAGACTGAATGGCAGACTATCAATTTTATTCTTCACATCACTTTTTCTCACAGATTTTAATATGCGTTTTGGTTTACGTAGCTGAATCCAAAGAGTTATGTTTTTCACTTGTAATATAAAATGGTTTTAATTACAGTATATATGTAAAGCAAAAAAAAATTGCAGGTGGGACATCATACTCATCTATGTACAACTTACTGAACTATCCAGCTGGTGTTGTTCCTGTTACCAAGGTTACAGAACAGGATGTTAAGGATATGGCAAATTACCCCCAAAAAACAATGTTTGAGAAAAATATTAAAAAGGTAAATTAAGGTTTGGGGGGTTTTTTTTCTCTCTCTTTTTGCATACTGCAGCTTAATTTGGTACATCCACCATTATAAATCTTAAATTTAGTGGAAAACAAAAAAATTCCCTAAAAAATTAAATGGTGAGTATAAAATTAATGTATAAAGGAATAAAAGACAAATTTCACATTTACAAGAGTTATTTCCTTTTTTGCTGGGTCAATCAGGGGTCAACTGGCATAAGGTACTGTTTCCTCTCTATACAAACCTTACAGGTTATTGTCTGACAAATGAAATCTCTCTGTATGGTCTATATGTTTCCTTTTTTTAACCCATGTTATACTATGCCAAGATAGGAAATGTATAAAATTGTAATGTCCCAAGACATTTCAATGTTTAAAATTTTTACAGGTAAATTACAGAAGATATAGTGAGAAAAATGGCCATTATGTGAACAAAGGGAAATAACTCGTGCAAGTGTGAATTTCTACTGATTCAGAATTAAAATATGCTGTAAACTAATTTTCATTTGTGTGCAATAAATATCGCCACACAAGCCATTTACATTGTAATTGCATGTGATTGTACGAGTGGCATTTGAAAAGTATGAAGAATAGTTTCAAGAATTATTAAAGTTGAATGTTTCATCAGTCATGAAAATTAATTAACAGAGCTCTGCGGATGGATTTCAAACTAATGAATCCAGAAAAAAAGTTTCCTTAGATAATTTGGTTTGCAGTAGTGAAAAATTGCTGTATTTCTTGGTTAAACTCTGTATCTGGTCAACACTTACTGTTATAAATTTTCATACTAGATGATGTTGGGAGGGACAGTGGGCCTGTCCTGTGGGGTGCAGTGTGTGGCACTACCGTATCGGGAGGAATTGGTTCTACGCCTGATGAAAGAAATCGAGGAAGGACTCAAGGGAGACAACTGAGGAATATTGTTAAATATTTAATTATATTTATGGATATATTAAATATGATTATAATTAAATTGAATGAGACAGAATTAACTAATTATGAAGAGTGGAATAAGAAATTTAGTTACTAAATGTTATTTAATAATCACCATACCTCAAGCTTGATGCATTTTAACTGCAGGTTGGAAAAAAAATAATGCAATTGCTAGTCTTTTCCTTGTTAATTGATCACTGTCTCATTTCTTAATAGATTTTAATTATGACTCAATTCAATTAATAATGATATTTTAAAATTTATTTTGAAAATTTTGATAAAACATGATTAACATGAATGCAATGACATTGTACTCTTTATAGGTTTTAAGGTGCATTAATCCTATGATAAAAGAGAGATAACTCACTAGGATATATGAGTAATACTCCTTTATAAAACTGTCAATTTAATGAATTAACTTTTTCTATCAAATTTTGCCCCGCAGTGGATGCTGAAATTGTGGGTATTTTAATTATAATTTTTAGCTCACCTCGACGAAGTAACTATAAGCCCTACCTGGACCAAACTTGCATGGATGATGCATCTAGGGATGGACACTACCGAACTTGCTTCGGATGCTGGATCTGACCTAGATTTTCCAGATGAGTGACCAGGTTAAAGTTTTAGGAGCAGGTCCATTCCTAAGTAACTATAAGCCCTACCTGGATTAAAATTGCATGGATGATGCATCTAGGGATGGACACTACCACACTTGCTTCGGATGCTGGATCTGACCTAGATTTTCCGGATGAGTGACCAGGTTAAAGTTTTAGGAGCAGGTCCATTCCCAAGTAACTATAAGCCCTACCTGGACCAAACTTGCATGGATGATGCATGTAGGGATGGACACTACTACACTTGCTTGGATGCTGGATCTGACCTAGATTTTCCAGATGAGTGACCAGGTTAAAGTTTTAGGAGCAGGTCCATTCCCAAGTAACTATAAGCCCTACCTGGACCAAACTTGCATGGATGATGCATCTAGGGATGGACACTACCGAACTTGCTTCGGATGCTGGATCTGACCTAGATTTTCCAGATGAGTGACCAAGTTAAAGTTTTAGGAGCAGGTCCATTCCTAAGTAACTATAAGCCCTACCTGGATTAAAATTGCATGGATGATGCATCTAGGGATGGACACTACCACACTTGCTTCGGATGCTGGATCTGACCTAGATTTTCCGGATGAGTGACCAGGTTAAAGTTTTAGGAGCAGGTCCATTCACAAGTAACTATAAGCCCTACCTGGACCAAACTTGCATGGATGATGCATCTAGGGATGGACACTACCACACATGCTTCGGATGCTGGATCTGACCTAGATTTTCCAGATGAGTGATCAGGTTAAAGTTTTAGGAGCAGGTCCATTCCCAAGTAACTATAAGCCCTACCTGGATTAAAATTGCATGGATGATGCATGTAGGGATGGACACTACTACACTTGCTTGGATGCTGGATCTGACCTAGATTTTCCAGATGAGTGACCAGGTTAAAGTTTTAGGAGCAGGTCCATTCCCAAGTAACTATAAGCCCTACCTGGACCAAACTTGCATGGATGATGCATCTAGGGATGGACACGACCAAACTTGCTTCGGATGCTGGATCAGACCTAGATTTTCCAGATGAGTGACCAAATTAAAGTTTTAGGAGCAGGTCCATTCCCAAGTAACTATAAGCCCTACCTTGATCAAATTTGCATGGATGATGCATCTAGGGATGGACACTACCAAACTTGCTTCGAATGCTGGATCTGACCTACATTTTCCACATGTGAGACCAGGTATAGATTTAGGAGTAGTCCCATTCCCAAGTAACTATAAGCTCTACCTCGACCAAACTTTCATGGATGATGCATCTAGGGATGTACACTAACCAACCTGCTTCGAATGCTGGATCTGACCTAGATTTTCCACATGAGTGAATTTTAGCCATATTTTAACCAAATTAGCATGGATGTTGTATCTAGGGATGGACACTTCCAGACTTGCTTTGGATTCTGAATCTGACGTACATTTTCCAGATGAGTGACCAGGGTAATTTTTTTTGAGTAGCTATATAATATTATGGCCTTTTATGATTAAACTTGCATAGATGGTGCATCTAAGGATGAAAACTTCCAGACTTACTTTGGATGTTGGAACTGACCAAAATTTTCTTGATTACTAAACAGGTCAAAAGTTTTTTGAGCAGGTCTATAATTAAATCAAACTTGCATGGATATTGATCTTGGGATGTACCCTAACTAGATAAAAAATATGATGTGAAATTTGCTTTACATGTAGATAACATTCGTCGAGGTGAGCTTCGTAATCTTTGATTACCTATGTTTTTTTTAAATCATGAACGCTAACTTAAAACAAAATTTTATATGAATAAACAGAGGGTGATGAACTTTAAGCATGATCTATTCATATTTTTTCATTAATTTATATCATTGATTTGAAATTGAAAGAAAATTGACATATTTGATTAAAGACAAATTTTGATTGTGCCATATGCTATTATTTATTGTATAGTCTAGCTATTTATAATACACTTAAAAAAGTTTGTAGCTGTGTATATGCCAAAATAAATTTTTACATGTAAATTGCCAATGGCATATAAAAACTATTTTCATGCCTCCCCTTTAAAAAAAGGGAGCATACCATACACATGTATTTGCCCTATTGAGACCATGCACTGCCCCCATGAGCACCTCCTGGGACCTGTTTTTAATCCACTGAAAAATAAGGGCCCCACCTCCTCAAATCATTCTTACTGTGTAATTTAACAGAAATAGATCCCTATGCACCAATGACATTTTGAAAAAAAATTATTCTTGGAATATAACTTATCTAATTTCTATAAATAGTGTTTAAGTAGTTTGCTGTCCATTTTATTTTTAGAATATAGGGGCAATAGGGCATATACAACCTTTAAGGTTGTATGAGTGATCAGGTTAAAGTTTATGGAGTACATGTAGCTCGATCTGTAAATATATATATGGCTGTTATAGTTAATTTGCATGGATGATGCATCTAGGGATGGACACTATACTACCAAATTTGCTTTGGTTAAAGTTTTTGGAGTAGCTTTGTTACTATGCAAATGGCTGCTATGGTTGTTATGATTAAACTTGTGTGGATGATGCAGCTAGGGATGGATAGTTTGATACTACCAGACTTGCTTCAGATGCTGGACCTGACCTACATTTTCCAGATGAGTGAGCTGGTTAAAGTTTTTGGAAAAGGTCCATTCCCAAGTAACTTTAAGTTCTACCTGGACCAAACTTGCATGGATGATGCATATAGGGATAGACACTACCAGACCTGCTTCGGATGCTGGATATGGCCTACATTTTCTGGATGAGTAAACAGGTTAATGTTTTTGGAGCAGGTCCATTCCCCAGTAACTATAGATCCTACTTAAAATGAATGGATATTGATCTCAGGATGGAAACTACATGTAACTAAAAAAAAAATTTGATGTAAGGTTTGCCTTAGCTTTCCAATATATAACAGTTGTAGAGGTGAGTTTGGTAATCTTCGATTCTTTTTTTTAATGTTTTTTTAAGATGTTTATGTTTATTTTAAAAGGGAGTGGAGTGCATACTTGTGTTTGTGTTTATCTACAAAAGTGTATTGAATGGAATAGCAATATGATAATTCAGATTCATAATTCAGGGAATATTTATTTGATTATTATGTCTCTGCCTGATTTTTGTTATTAATTTATATATCTCTACTCAAGCATGTCATATACTCATGAATTTATTAATATCAAGCTTGTTGATTTTGTTGTACCCTTACAATAAAGTTGTAAAGGGATTGATTAATTGGTGTTCTAATAAAAAAAAAAATCATAATTACCAGAGCCTTTTCTTTTAATGTTTAACTCAAGATTGTGATAAGGATGCTTTTTACATGTATTACTTTGAAGTAAGTTTTTTTTCCCCACAAGAATGGAAAATAAGAGATTCTAACATTCTGATACAGGACATGTTAATTGTATGTATCACATTGTCAGGGCAGCAAATATTGTAGGTCTTATTCAAAAGGTATTGTTAATAAAGATGTCAATGGATCTAAAATTTATGATCATAAATTATACAATCACGTCATGTAAAATAATAAGGGGATTTTGGAATACCTAAAAACATTGATAAAAATATTAGATATAAACTTATCAGATCCAACAGAGGATGTGGTTTTCGTGAGGGAGGAGAAAGATCCAAAGTTCTGAATTTTAATTTGGTTTATGGATCTTGTATTTTTTTTTCTTTTTAAAATTCATTAAGTCTCTAGCTAAGAAGACATTTCAAATATTACCTGTGTGACAGATTTTCTTCTAAAATAAAAGGCAAAGTTTCAGACCATAACGTACTTAATATAGCTAGATAAGTAAATAAATTTCAATTATTTTAATTAATAAATAAAAAAAATTAACTCGTCAAGTGAGTATTATATGTATGTAATTATAGATTTGATTATAACACGCATTTATGTTTTTAATTTTTTTAAAAAAATGTTTTTTTCTTATTATTTGATTCAAATATAAATGAATACATGTATATCAAATGCATTTTTATCCATATATTATTATCTATATTTATATTGTACATGTAGTATGAAACGTGAAATACGTTATTTGATTGTAATGCATCTTTTGTGAGAATTAACTTTTGACTTAAATTCCCAGTTTGTAGAATTCTTTCATACACTGTTATAGTCTACACATTTACTGAGTAATTAAAAGACCTTTATTTGTTGACATCCAAAACAGCATTCGGCAAATTTTTAACCTCGGCTGATATTCCGTACCTTCATCGAGGTTAGATGAGGTACGAATCGGCCGAGGTGTGCCGAGTGCCAAAACAGGTGATCGATTGGCTCCAGTGGTCAGCGATGGTTATCGTGCTATTACATAACCCGAAATTACTGGGTCGGAAAAACTAGGTTAATAAATGACCGCATCAGTCCGATTGTTTAGAAATCTACGGTTCTTGTTACACCTGTGGTCAAAAGAATAAAACTAATGGATGTCGGAGATGCACCAATACGTCGATGTTAAATTGAAGTGTTTAATTGATGTATATTGAAGAGTATACTGTTTAACATTATAATTATTTCGTCCTCTTTATTAAATTATGGTGAATATATGTGTAACAACCTTTGAACAAGTTGAACGTTTGGTAAGATTTTTTTCTTTTCAATAACAACTAAAAGATTTGAAAGCGTTTAACGGTTTTTAAATACATCAATAAATATGTTGGGAAATGTAGTTTTATGAAGGCAATTAGACTGTTAATTATTTTATAATTAATTCTTTCAGATAAGGTGAGGTCTCACTTTGTCAAGGAAAAGAGAACAAACAACACAGCCTTATTTTCCTTGTCCTATGTTGTTGGTCAATAAACTGAGTGTACAAAAACAAGATTAGTTTATTATATGGAGGGGTGATAGCATTCTTTACTTACAATAAACCAATGCTCGGAGCATCCAAACACCCCTTACTGGACAGATAAATAGACTGTTCCGTCGATAAAACAGCTGACTGTTGTAAACATGGTAAACAAAAGTAACCTAGCTTGAAAGAAAGAGGGGTGAAACTTGCAAGATCAACTGTACTTAAATGGACAATTAATAATTAAGGAGAATCATGTTGGACTTAATTGAGAGTGTGGAAGTTTCTATAGGACTTATCATTGCTATAATTCTTTTGTTGTTTTACTTGACCAGGACAAGCAAAAATCTTCCTCCTGGTCCGCCAACATGGCCCATCATTGGATCCGCCATAAATTTTCAAAAGATTCCTAACATGAGAGATGCCGTTAGAGAAATGCGCGCAAAGTACGGAGATGTTTTTAGGATAACACGGTTTGGACGCCATGTTATTTATATCAACGGCCTTGAAAACCTAAGAGAAATTTTCATCAAAAAGGCGGACGCCTTTTCGGACCGTCCGTCTAACTATCACACGAGATACATCCTCAAGGGACATGGTCGAGTTTCTTATTTACTGTTATTTTGTCTATAAACATTAAATGATGTCAACATGGTCAATTTACATATATTGTACTTTTTCTACGTAATATTGCAGTCATTGCTATTAATATTTTAAGTGACTTTTGAGTTCATTTCATACTTTTGTCTTTCTTTAGGCGTACTGGCTAGTTCAGGAGAAAATTGGAAAGAACACAGAACATTTGCTTTGACAACACTTCGAAGTTTTGGCTTTGGGAAACGCAGTCTTGAAACCCAAATAATGGAGGAAGCCACTTGTTTCACCGACCAAATCGCTGCGCTGAAAGGCGGACATTTCGATCCAAACGAATACATCCACGTGAGTATCTCCAATATCATGTGTTCTATTGCTTTTGGTAAACGCTACGAACACTCTGACACTAACTTTCAACATCTGTTGACTCTTGTTACTCAACTCGCTGCTGAGCCTCGAAATCCACTGTTAGACATGTTTCCAATACTGGGGCTTTTGCCGGGTGATGTTTTTGGCGCAAGGAAACTTGAAAGGTTAGAGAATTCAATCCAAAACTTTGCTAAGGGCATTTTGAAAGAACACCAAGAGACCTTCGACGGGATAAATATCAGGGATTACATTGATGCTTATCTTCTAGAGCAAGCTAAGCAACAACAAAATGAGGAAACAACATTCACTGGTAAATGTCAATATTAATTTTATTGCGATTAAATCATATTATGATGAGTCGTCTGAAGAGAAACGTTAAATAATTCTTGGAAAGTAAAATGATGTAAAATATGACTTTTTTTTATTATTTACAGAGGAACAATTGATTTGCACTCTCCGCGATTTTTTCATCGCTGGATCAGAAACAACAACTACTACATTAAAATGGGCGATGACGTTTCTCGTCAACTTTCCAGAGGTTCAAACTAAGATGAGAACAGAAATTGATGACGTCATCGGTTCCCGTCCAGTCAGCCTTACTGACCGCGACAACCTGCCTTATTGTGACGCAGTCATTACAGAAACGTTAAGACTGGGAGACATAGTTCCCATGTCCCTTCCCCACACCACTTCATATGACGTTACATGGAACGGTTTTACAATCCCAAAAGGCGCCACCGTGTGGCCATGTCTGGACTCCGTCCTAAATGATGATGATCTGTTTCCTGATCCCGAACACTTCAAACCAGAAAGGTTTCTGAACTCAGAGGGGAAGCGTCAAGGGCACGATAAGGCAGTCATTCCATTCTCATTAGGTAAGTTTTTAATTAATAAGTTATAAAGGGGAAATTAAGGGTATTATAAGATGATGTCAAATACCATCAGTCATGTAAAATAATGTTCAAATAATTTTTTGAATAAAAAAGGGCGTTTTTTTTTTCAATTTTTGCAATGCAAGTTTGATTTGATTTTTGATCATTTTTCAGGACGTCGTGTGTGCCTTGGGGAGTCTCTGGCTAGAATGGAACTTTTCCTGTTCCTTGTAACCATTGTACAGAGATTTGAGCTGAAGGCATCCCCAAATCACCGGATCCCGTCCCTCAACGGGTTCTTTGGAACCGTCCACGGGCCTCATCCGTACAATATCTGTGCCATTGAACGCACTTAGAAGTCTCTACATGTAACATTACAACTTAAATGATCTTAAAAGATAATTTTTATATGATCAGTACGACTTGAATCTTTTGATCATTATAACACGTATAATTTGTACATCTTTCTACGTTTTCTTCATTCTTGTGTATATTTATAAGCCTGAGGATAAAACTGTTCAAAGAGTCAAAAAATGCCTCAATATGAAATTATCAACGAAATCATTCTATTGAAGATCAAATTAAAATGTAGCAATGTTCGACATGTAAGAGTTATTACATAATGTATAATGTTATTCTAATTTCAAGTTGAGGAAAGAATTTTGTAACCTTTTATCATCTGCTTATCTTAAAAATCTAAATATCATTTAGATAAAATGATCATGCGAGATTTATGAGTGTGATGAGCGCCGTTAACTTTTGAACAATCTTGTTTTGAATTTTTTGATGATTATATATACACCTGTAATTTGTACTTTTGAGTAATGTTCATTTTATTTTTTATAAGTTTTAAAGAAACAGTAGCTAGTTATATAATATGTAACGTTTCGCCCTGATGAGTTCGTAAGGTAGGATAAATAAAATAGTTACTAAATATGGTTTGGTTAAGCCTGGTTGCGGCTAAGATGCGGTCTCTTAATTTCTGGTAGCGAATATAATTATGAAATTATGAAAAGCGGTTTTTTACAAAAAGAAATCAACAACAAGATAATAAAAGTTTTCAAAAATTATATTCTGATATTCAAAAATTTATTATAGATAACAAAATCAACAACAATATATATTTATATATGCTCGCACAACGCCATTTGTTAGATTTACAGGACCCCCGAAGTTCGGATAAAGTTTACTAGTTAATTTCTAATATCCAATTTCATAAATAATAAATAAATAATATATATAGTACCTTTTAACGAGTGTATCTTCAGATATCAGACGAGGGGACTTGTCCCCTGAGTCTGATCATGATATTTGAAGATGCACGAGTTAAAAGGTACTCTCTATGTTTTGTATCATTGTTCTCAGGTATTGAGCTACCCAAGATCTATCAATTTCACGTTTATAGCACGTGATTCAACTATATTCTCTTGCACTGAGTTATCCATGATCTATCAAAACTTCATCGTACCATTTTATATGACCAATGAAAAAGGAGCACGTGATTCGAAAAGTATAAGCGCGCTGTATTTCTTGAACTTTCTACCTCGTCCATTCAATTCTGAACGCCATGGATGACGGTTGTGATTTTATGCTTTCGCATTTCTTAGACACGGAAACTGAAATTCTGAAAGAAAATTCCTTAGATCATTAAGGAAACCAGATACGGGTTGAATATTCTTTGGGAAGTATGACGTTTGATCTACCGGAACTAAAAATTGAACCTATTATGGGTTTCGATATAGGTGATATTTTAGACATGATGGGGACTAAGTTCACCAATCCCGAGGTCGAGACGAAGACGATAAATGAAAGGTTTATACAAGTGTCCGATCATGAAATTCAGCGTTTGATAGACTCTCCAAAAAAAAAAAAATCCCAACACTCGTAAAAATATCAAATGGCAATTTAAACCTTCAGGTCAATCAAGGAGAGGCGTGCGACACGGGAAAATGTCCACTTTTGACCTAGATGAACAGCGATTCCTGGAAGCAGCGATTTGTGTTGGAATTAGAAAACAAGGAATATCCACATCGCTTCCTGTTACTACATCGTGTGTGGTTTGTTACGCTTCAAGTTTATGAGATCGACGAAAACATTCATTTATAAAAAAAAAAAAAAAAAATTGTGCTTGTGTGAATTCCATTTTGGATTTGAGGGGGCCGACTGGGGTTTTCATTGCGCAATACTTCGCGCAGCATAGTAAAATAAAGCGTATTAACTATTTTAAAGCAACTTTTTTTGACATAATTTATAAAAATTAACAAATTTAGGAATATCAGGTTAAAAAATCTAATTACATTTTTAAATAACTGATTTTTTAAACGATTTTTCAAATGATGGGTAGATAGACGTCGTAATAGTGTGTTTTTGACGTCATGAATAACCGAGATTCCTTAAGCGGGGTAATTAATTATGTCATAAAATGAAAAGGAATAAATAGATGCTCTTGAAATTTTAAACATAGGAAATTGAGAATCTCGCAATCATTTTTATTATTTTTTTTATGTAAATCTGTGGTATCTGACATGTTTTGTTGTACGCCAGAAGAACAGGAAAATATCACGAATTTTTACATTTTGAGATGTTCCCATCTGGAAACCAAACGGTAGAATTTTGTGTTTCTTTCGTAAAATGTACAATATAGTGTTACCCATCAAAAAGTCTATAGTAGCATTTGTATCTAATTTGCTCCGAAGTGCGAAAAAATGGCATTTTCCTATATAATCCTATAGTAAATGTACCTGTATTTTGAGATGGTCCCTAAAAAATAACCAGACGGTAGATTTTAACTAAACTTGGCATATATACTGAAGTCAATGTAAGGTACATATGGTATAAAATTAAAGAGTTTCTCTGTAGTAGTTTTCACACAATAAAACCCCAGTCGGCTCCCTTAAAAATTGACGTGCAAAATTTAGATTTTTTTTATGTAGACCTAAGGAAAGGAATACCTTCACTATGTTTATATGTGTTTGTATTTTGCTTATTAAGTCAGCTACTTTTGTTTATATTCTTTTTCTATATCAATGTAAGGTCAAGGGTCATTGGAGTTGTTGCATCATTACCCTGGCGTGTTCTGTCTTGAGAGAGCATGGTTGTTAGAGCACAATTAGTCATGGTGTATCAAAAATAAAAACACAGTGGTCTCCAAAGGAAAAACCCCGCAGTAATCATACAAATTTCAATACGGAAGTTTCGAGATTATTTCCCTTGGTGCGTTCTTTCGTCACGTGGGGGGGGGGGGGTGTCTGCGTAAACCGGCAGGTGGGACAGTTATATTGGATACGTTATATCATCGATATACCGGTCTGTCATAACTGTCTATCGGGATGCTCTCATCAACTCGAAAATAACCGAATTTTAATAACGGCATCAATTTGTTTTTCTACTAAAAAAAAAAATCGGAACTAAAAAGAAAATATCAGTGGATTAAGACATCAGACGAGGGAAGAGACATGGATCTCCTATACAAGCGCATCTGATAATTGCACGTCGGCAATCTGAATGACAAATCGACTTATTCCCTTATTATAATAATAATTTCACAAGATCCATAATTTTTTTTTAGGAAAATGTTTGTAATCAAAGAAGCGTCTTTTTCACAAAAAACTATGAGGGTTCTTTTGATATCAAGTATCTTAATTAAAAGTAAATTTTGTGAAACACGTAAAGTATACTATTAGATCAATATAATCATCAAAATCATCACTATTTGACATTATGTCTTTCCATAACATTATTTAAATACATTTTAAAGCTCTAGCCATCGTCCATTATATATGCACGTTTGTGTACATCGATAACCTGTCCCACTTCCATGCTGATATAAATACTTTTTGTGCCTCTATCGTTGGAGAGCTACAATCTCGAAACTTGCGTACTACAGTGCTTACGGTAGTTCCGGATCATCGGTAGTTCCGGATCACTTTTTTGTGTAATAATTCTTTAAAAAATAATTGTTGAGGAAAATTTATTATCGATATATCACACGCGAAGAATAGGGGGTATTACTACTTCCAATAAAAAATCGAACTTTACCATGCACGATTTCGATACTTAGTTGCGTCAGAAATAAAGCGCCCCAAAGACGAAGATCGGTGTTTTGACAGTTTTACACGTGCTTTTTAAGAAGAGTTGTTCTTTCTGTTATACATAAGACGAGTAAGGAATTGATTGAACCTCATAAAATGTTTACTTGTTATATATTCTACTTCACCATATATAAGAAACTTATATCAATTAAACCTGTATATTTAAAACAAATAAACTTTGTGAACCCACCGTTACTGCTGTTCCGGATCACTTCACTCCGCAAGAAGGATTCATTTGTCTCAAACATCGTTTAATCACGTTAACTGTATTATTTTGTATGATCACTTTTATGTAGTGAACATATTATCAAAATAAAATTAAAATAAAATATTTAATTTCTTTTTTTTTATTCAATCTCATTCCATCACAGAATACTGACAACACAGTCACGTACATGTCAGAACTGCGTATTTAAAAGGATTTGCAATGTAGAAAAAATTGTTATATAATTTTCTTGTATCTTAAAGAAAAAGTAAACTCCGTAACTATCATTTTGTACATTGTTTTTTTAAACCTCTATAATCCACTGTAAATTGTTGGTGATATTCAACTAATAAATGATTTTTTTTTTAAATCTTAATTCATTACAACAGTTTACTGTATGGGTGCTTCGATCTATACTTCTATCTATTTTTCGAAAAACATGCATGTCTGATATTTATTTCGATTTAAATCACATTTACTTCTGTTATAATAAATCCACCAATATATATCATTTTTTATATCACCAGCTTCAAAACTTTAAAATAATGCCTGGTTCGTTGGAATCTGATCAGGTGTTCGATATTAAATTAATTTAACTTTTTTCCTAAAAGATGAATGATTATCATACTTTAACTGCATAATCCATATTCATAATTATACATAATGACAAATTATTGAAATATTTCCGATAAAAAAAAAACAAATTGATATAACAGTTGAAATTTATTTTCTATTTCTTCATCTTTCTAAATAAGGCCTAGATAAAGAGTTTAATTTCCTAATTTCTATTCCATTCTGTGAAAAAAAAAATATGTTAAAAAATTTATATTTATTTACATATCTTATAATAAACTCAACATAAATAGCATATTAATGTATTCGGAATGAACCATATCAGCGCAAAAGAGAATCGGCGCAAACCATCATGTACAAACCATGCACTGGTGCGAAACATCCCGTTACTGGTAATATAAGAATAGGCACTCCCCAGCTTAATTGTTTAGAATATATATCTACTATACTATATAGTATAGTAATATATATATTTTAAACAATCAAG